TCTTTCTAAACATAATCCCATCAATTTATGAAAGAACTTCAAGGCTTTTAGGGGATTTCAAATCTAAATTCAGAGTCTCCAAAATTACCTCTAAGCTAATTTAGGAAAATGTTGGAGGATCAATTTGAAATTGTTGAAAAAAAGGAAAGTGGGGGTCATGAGGGTTTCGGCCATGGGTAAAAGGAGGTGGCCAGCCACTATGAGGAGGAAAAGGAGAAGGAGAAGTTGTGAATGGTCGGCAAGGGGAGATATGGGGGATAAGACTCGACTAAGCTTGGATGTTAAGATGTAGAGCTTGGTCAAGGCTAGGAGGAGAAGAGAGAGGGTTGGTTGGAGCTTTGGGAGGAGATGACGGTGGCGGTGAGCTCAATGGGGGTGGAGGTGGAGATAAACCGTGAGCTCGGATGCTTCATGCGGCTGACGGGTCTTGCTTTGCCCTCAACTAGGGACATCACATAAGCTTTCACAAGAACTCTCAAGGCTCTCAAATACACCAAGACACAAAGTGCAGAAATTTTCATTCATAATAATCATCATCTCTCCCAAGATGGAGGTGAGGCCTATAAATAGACAAAATACAATAAAACATCAAATGATCAAAGTGTCCCCTGGGGTCACATAAACCTACTTCCTCAAGTGAGGGTAAAATCGAAAAATTATACATAATAAATCAAATACAAATAAATGTTCAGAAATAGAATAATGCAATCGTAGTCGTAGATCTCCGGCCCTTCCTCTAATAAACTTTTCATGGCCGGATGCCCTCATCATTTTATTTGGCTAAATTATATATATATATCTTTTGTCTTCCTTAGTTACTAATATATTATATAAATCATTAAAAGCTAAAATCTTTTCATTGCATATTACTTTCTTAGACTCCTTACGAGCCTTTTTATATCTTTTCCAATCATCAGAGTTTTTATATCTAAACTATTTTTTATAATATTCTTCTTATTTTTTATATTTCCTTTCCCATTTCGATTCCACCAGTAACTATTTTTATTATTAGGAACTTTTTGCTTTGATACTCCAAGCATTTCTTTTGTAACATTTTTAATATCACTAGCTTTTTTTTTTTCAATTAATATTAGTTTCCTCATATACAGACAAAATTATAAGATCTAGAATCTTACTCTCAAAAATATTTTTGTTAATATTTTTTAATTGCCCTCATTTGATCCTAGAACAATGTTTTTATTTTTATTTTTTTATATTTTGCCCCTTTATCTTAAAGTTCAAAATTAATAAGTGATATTGGGTTCAAAAATTTTCACCGAAATAATTTTACAATCTTTGTAATCCAAACAATTTCTTATAAGAAAATAATCAATCTGAATTTCAATATATCTGAATATCATTATATCCATTCTTAGAAATGATGAGATGCTCATGTATTTTCTTAAATAATGTATTAGCAATTACAAAATCATAAGCTATAGAAAAATCTAATATGATCTTACTACCTTCATTAGTCGCTCCAAACTTATAGCTATCATGAATGTTTTTAAAATCTACCTCTCTAACTTGTCAATTTAGTTATCCTCTAATGAAAATTCTTTTTTCAAAAGAAATCTTTTGTATTAATATTTCTGAGTCATTTCAAAATTTTAATTTTGAACACATATTCAAACCTACTTGAGGATCATAAACACTTGTAATATTAATAATCTTGGTGATGTGAAACGTACATGCAAGGATGATTAACTTTAGGGAGTTTGCACGTTTAATTTTAGAAACCACAGTAATTATATATTTATATTAATTTTGAATGACAAAAGAAAACACAAAGAGCGGTAAGACAAGTTTAGACTAAATCGCATGCATAGAGGTTAATATCGTAAGACAGTCAATTTAATATAACATTGCATACATGAATGGTTTCAACAATAATTCCCAATGCTAACAATAAAATTAGTCTCTACAAGAAGATCCCTCAATCAACTCTTCTAATTTCTAGGCGTTAGCAGAGAAGTATTAACATTATCTTCATGACTATAATAATAACTACAAGCAAGGATGTAACTATGAAGATAGAGAATTGTATGTTGAGTTTACCCAAAGACAAGAGAGATACGAATTCCGATAAGGTCGTTTGAATGTTGGAAAAGAAGTGGACAACAACCACAAGCCTTCATGATTTTATTGGACAGCAATCTGGAGCTTATAGGTGGCGGGACAGCAATAATAGACTACAGAAATTACTGGACAGCAGCTCTAACTATTTAAAACAATTATGGGCAGCCACCTATAGGGCCTAGGAAGACCTTAGACAGCTGCTGTGGGACGTCTGGAGCTTATGGACAACAATTAGCGATGTTCCAGGATGCAGGGCAGCAAGTTGTTTGGCTGGAGATCCCTGGATGGTGTGCAGGATTCATCCAAAAATTCGAGACATCAACTTGACTCTGTCTAGAAATTTGGACAGCCAGTTGGGGAGATGAATTTCAGCCGTTTCCTCCTATTGGGTGCATGTGAGCATGAAAGAGAGGGTGGGAAATTGTGTGGACAGCAATAGAGGAGAGCTGGAGTTAATTTCCTTTGATCTAGACTTGTTTGGGAAAGAAAATTAATTGGAGAGGAGGGGCATGGGGCCGGCCAAGCGAGAAAGGAGGGGAAAATTGTGTCTAGGTTCAATGTATGTAAGTTATGGGGCAATTAATCAATTAATTTCAGGATTGATTAATTGATTGAATGAAGGGGGTTTCCAAATGTGGTGTAATTAATTATGAAAGATTTGAAATTCAAACTTGATTAATTTGAATTCGAATTTCTTTCTAAATTAAAAACAATCCAAATTAGGAAGGAATGAGTTTTGGAGGGAAGTGGAGTTTGGGATGAGACAAATCATTCCAACCCAATTTAAAATTAAATTGGGATTAGATTCAAGACTTTCCTAAAATAGCTTTTTAATTTAGGAAACTATTTGAAATTCAAAATTTAAATTTCAAAATGGTTGAGATTAATTTCCTAAATCATTTAGGCTATTTAGGTAAGTAGTAAGGATGAGTTAATCACGAGGAGGGGTTGAGGCCGTCGGTTTGGGGAGAAAGGGACGGGTAATGGGGAATCACGGGGAGGGGTTGAGGCCGTCGGTTTGGGGAGAAAGGGAGGGGATTGTCGGTGGTATAGGTGAAGATGGAAGAGGAAAATAAAGACTAAAATAAAGAATCAAGAACTCACAAAGAGATCGTAAAACCGCGAACCTTGGACTCTTCCAAATGTTGATAGGTATTGCGATTGCCTACACCTTGGGTCTTCCTTCTTCTCTCAAACACTGAACATTGAGGAAGACAAAGAGAAATCTGAATTTTCTATTAATATCATCATCCTACAATAGAAGAGAGTTAGCCTATAAATAGGCCTCATGAAAAGAAAAATAGCAAAGATTAAAATGCCCTTCGGGCTACAACACCACATGATCACTCCTAAGGGTAAAATGGGAAAAATAGTAATATAAGATAAACTAGACATAAGACAATAAAATAAAATAAAATAAAATAAGCTCTAGATCGTAGCCGTTGATCTTCCGATGTCCTCATCACTTGGCATTAACAACAATCTTTAAAGTTATAATTCTATCTCCAATCTTATTAATTTTTACAATATTATCCTTCAAACTCTTATTTATAATCACACATACACTTGTTCTAGTGTGACTCCTACCAAAATGCCATAGTCTAAATTCTAAACTATCAATCTCCTTAGCATTCTTTTAAACTCATTTAGTTTCCTGAATGCATAAAATATTTATCTTCCTATAAATCATAATATTTATTAATTCCATTAATTTGCATATAAAGAAATTTATATTCCCAGTTCCTATTCTAATTTAAGTTTCATGGATTAACTTATTTGCCCATTTCACATTGTACCCGTGCGTCGGTGCAACGACCCTTGTACACTTCTCGCTGTATTCAGACCATATAGCACGTCGCTTCCAGGGAACACCCTAATATTAACCAGTGTATTAAAGGATTCATGTCATGATTATTCGATAAGTTTTACGATAGTTGTCAACTACTTAATACAATCATTCACTTTTCTCATTCAGAACTTGGGACCTGACAATGATAATGTTTAGTTATTTATTATGCATTATATCAAAACCAACTGTGCTTTTTTTCATTTTGAACTCTTCATTTCAAAATCAAAACAATGGAGAAAGTGACATTTTTCTTTCAATAAGTGTTGCCCTTGCCATTATTTTTATATCCACAAAAATGGTATGATGAGCCAAGAAATGTTGGAAGAAAATAAGACATAAATGCAATAATTAAATGATCAAAAGCAAGCCATTATAATTCACCACCTATAAAATGATAGAATTCCTATCATTGGACCAACACATACTATGCCCATTGGTATAGATGAAGAGGATTGTACTATGTGGATGGAGTCATTCTCATATTACGTTTTTTCATTTTTTTTTTGTTTTTCTTTTTTTAATCATGCAACATTTTCTTGACAGATCAAGATTTTTCATCTTAATATAAACCATGATAGGCAGGGCAATGCCACATTTCATAATTTTCAAGATGATTTGGTCATGCATTACACATACATAGTATTCTTAATTATGAACGGTTCACGTTGTGAGAATGATTCATTAATTTTCTAGTGGTAGAGTATTCTACTTAAATGAAATTTTGGAGCATTCTAATTAAATGACATTGTGGAGTATGCCTTGAGGCAATGAGAATAAGTTTAATGGCTATTTAGAAAAAATGATTATGTAAATGTAAATTTTAAAGAGGGGCATCACAAGCTATCTCATACAGCTTGATTAATGGTTACATATTCATAAAAATTGATAAAATTAGGCCATCAAATTGTTTTTGGTTGTTAATTAACATCAATGATCATGATATTATATTTGGGTTATAACATTAAAAAACTATTTTTGCATACAATGAACTAATTTTCACATAATTGTTGTTGATTCTCTACACAAGTTTCTTGAATTGAATGCTTGAAAAATTTTATTCTATTTTCCCCAGATTTTGATATCGAGGCAAATGGTCTTCAAGGAAGTGCTCTTCACAAGCAAGGATTTGCCTATTGCTGGTCTGGTGCTCGAGCTAATGTTGGGATAAAGCGAGGAAAGTATTGTTTTGGTTGTAAAGTTGTTTCTGAGCAGGTGGTTAACTTGGCTGACACTCCTGTTGATCAGCAACATTTGTCTCGTGTTGGAATCTCAAGAGGGGATGATTCTGTTGGAAATCTTGGGGAAACTATCCATAGTTTTGGCTTTGGAGGTACAGGAAAATTTTCAAATGCGGGGAAATTTTCAGGTTATGGTGAGAAGTTTGGTGTTGGTGATGTAATTGTCTGTGCTATTGACCTTGAGAAGAAACCGCTGGCGACAGTTGGATTTTCAAAGAATGGGAAATGGCTAGGTATTGCAAGGGAATTTGATGCAAGCCTGAATGGATTTGGCATTGTTGGCGCTCAGGTGAAGAAACTTCCCTGGGAGTCGGCATTATTTCCTCATGTCTTGTTGAAGAATGTTGTAGTACAGCTCTTATTCAGCATCAGTGATGGATTGACACCCATGGATGCTTACAAGCCATGGAATTCAGCTATTGAAGATGGAAATGCAATCTTTGGTCCCACTTTTTCTAGAAAAGAGGAGTGCGAGGTTCTAATGATGGTTGGTCTGCCAGCATCAGGTAAAACTACGTGGGCTGAAAAAAGGGTGAAGGATCACCCAGAAAAGCGATATGTGCTGCTTGGAACCAACCTAGCTCTTGATTTAATGAAGGTGTCGTGTAAACTACTTTGTTGTTTTGAGTAATTAATCCTGTGTTACGTGATACTATTAGTAGTGCGTTGGCTGCAGGGTGGAAGAGTTTCAATAATGAAAATTTTGATTAATGCTAAATTTTTAACAGGTACCAGGACTCCTGCGAAAACGTAATTATGGTGAACGGTTTGAGCTTCTGATGGATCGTGCTACAGGAATATTTAATACATTGTTGGCAAGAGCTGCTAAGACTCCTCGCAACTACATTCTTGATCAAACAAATGTTTACAAGACTGCCCGGAAACGTAAATTAAAGCCATTTATGAAATTCCGCAAGGTGGTTCTGAAACAATTTAATATTAGATGATGCTTGCAATTTCTAAAACTGGAAATTTTGACCTTATAATCATTCATACCATTGCTTGCTAACAAAATTATTCTACAGATAGCTGTGGTTATCTTTCCTATGCCAACTGAGCTCAAGGATCGAGCAGCCAAGCGATTTGAAGAAATGGGAAAAGAAGTTCCTGCAGATGCTGTGAATGAGATGATAGGTAACCTTTGACACCATGAAGCTACTGCATCTTGTCTAAACATATTATTGAAAAGCCCTTTTTAATGTGTTTTTTTTTTTCTAGCCCACTACGCCTTACCTACAAGTATGAACATGTCTGGTTCTACTGAGCAATTCGATGAGGTATTTGTTGTTTTTTCTTTGTTGGTGTCTGCCAAGTTCTTTGACCTTCATATACTAGTGCAAAAAATATACTGATGACATTTGGTTTCTTTTCGAGAGGTCATATTCCCAGAACTAGGCAGAGAAGAGGCACAACGTCATTTGGATGAAATGAAGCGTGCACTTCCTCCATCTTCTAATACGAACATAAAGCATGAACTTTCTCCTTTCTCTCGTGAAAGACATGCCCAATCATTTCCTAGACCATTGGTTGCTAATAAAGAACCTATAACAGGTTTTCTCTCTCTCTCTCGTACATGGGTTATAATTTTGCATTTATATGTATATATCATGCATGCATTCTTTCATTCTTTAGTGGCTCTGTAATGGCTAATGTTACTTCGGTCTATTTTATAGATTTTGAACAACACAATCAAACTCCGCAATCGAATGTGCTATTTTCAGATTATTCGAGTCCATCCCAAGTAAGCATTAACAAGATATCTCTAGATTTTGACATTTGAAACCTAAATTCTTACTATCAATGTGTGTTAATTTATTTCTTTTTTGAGGGAGCATGAGTTATTTAATATTCAAGGAGCCGTTTATACTTGGCATTCATGTTTTGTATATCTTGTTTTTGTACTGTTGATGAGCTTAAAGCTAGTGTTTCTAAGCGCACTAGCTATATAGCTTAATATTCCTAGGCCATAGTGAAATATTTAAATAGTCAATGATAGCGAAGTTGTGTTGACTGAAATGAGAACAAGAGGATTAATATGTGAAAAAATTACAAATGAAGTATATATCAAGAAATGAATTTGTTTTTGGTAAGATTGTCATTTGTTGAAGACAATTTAATTAAAAATAGACTTATGTAGTTTAGCACGGGCAACAAAGGGTAGGATATGAACTACTATGGTGGGCTGATAAAATCAATATCTAAGTATTGGAAAAGGGAAATATAGTGTTGGTGGTGGGAGGATCTTGAGGAGAAGGCAGACCTAGTGGCTTGTTTGTGATGTATGGTGATACAGAAGAGGCTTTGGGTTGGTGAGGTGGTAATAAGGCTTAGGTTTAGTGTTGTCTATGGTGTAGGTTGAGCGGTAGTGATGGGAGGCCATTATTTCTTGAATTATGTAGGTGGAAAGGGCTTGTTTTTTACTTGGGAATGCCTTGGTTGGAATGTGGAGAAAGTGTGGAGGCTAATGCAGGGCTTTGAAGTGGTTTGAGGTATGCTTGGAGGGGTTCAACCTGAGAGGCCCAGTTTTAGGATTATTATTATGGGGATATTGAAACAAGTTGGTGGATGGCTATGAGGTATTGTGGGATGGTTTATAGGATTTAGGGGAGTGGATGGTGGCAATTACGGTTGAGGGGAAAAGGCCATAATCCAGTGGGTGGGAGTGGGTGTTGAGATAAAAAAAAAAAAAATACAAGTATTACTTGAACTCAACCGTAATTGCCCATGTGAGGGCATCACTTAAAATATGGTCTTTGTAACTTCCTAGTTTAATGGGAAATAAGCATAGTTTGGTCACATTTAGAGATGCATTATTGGCCCAACTAGTATGGAATAATTTATGATTGAGCTCAGAATTCAGCTTAGCTCTTATGAGTGCTTGAGAGATACGATCTTTATTCACTATCACTATCAATCACTAGTCTACATATTTTCCCATTACATAGTGTATACGCTTGGAAAATATTCCTTTATCTGCAATCTTTATTATTATTAAGATATTTGATGAAGGTAAGGAAATTGACTTTGGATACATGTTTTGAAACTCGAATGCAATGAAGTAATTTCTTATTATTTTTTGAAAAAAAGATACTTATATGATGGTGTGTTTTGAAAATATGCTTATGCATGCATATGAAAAATTAGGTACTTCAAGCAGTTAAGCACCTTTTTAAGAACTAATTTTTATAAATATAAATAAATATGTATAGACTATTGAATCAAAAGCAAACAAGCAAATATAATTTTTAATTTCATGTTTTAAATACAATAAAAATTTGTTAAAAAATTTTGTTAGTGGATCACATTGTCACAAATATGATATTAGTTGGTGGGGTTAGGTTTCATTCCAGGATTGGCTGATTTTGAAGTGAAGCTACCTACTTGGAGATCATGCAAATAATTTCACATAATTGCCAAGTGATATGCCAGTATCATTGATTTCTATATGAAGATTAGTCCACCATGACAAAAGGAAATTAGAAGCAAGGGAAAGCAAACATGATTTACAACTAAAGATCAAATCGCCAATTTTTTGAAGATGCCTTGATTGTTGCAGTGATTAGCTCTCCTTTGCTTTGCCTTTATAATTCCTTCTATGATTGCAAATTATTATTCTTGGAGTGAGTGGCAGACAGTGGATCTTGAGGAGAAGGCACACTTAGTGACTTGTTGGTGATGTATTTAGAGGTTTTTGAGTGGTGAGTTGGTAATTAGAGTTAGGCTTAGTGGTGTATTCGGTGGAGGTCGAGAGGTATTTATGTGAGAAAATGATTTATGGGGGCTGTTAGTGAATGGCTCGGGTTTTGCTTGGGAAGTCTTTGGTTGAGCAGTGTGTGAGCTTCGAAAATTCACGCTCCGGCCTCTCCTTTTTGCACCCTTCTCGTTGACAAGGAGAGTTTTAACTAGATTTAGGTTCCGGACTAAATTTTCAGAAGACATTGGATTTTAGATAGACATTACCAAGAGATTTTGCCCTCATTTTGTGTGGACTTTATGATATGAGGTCTAGTTTCTGTAGGCGTGAGTCTCTATATTTAATTACCCCTTCCAATAGCAAGATGACACTTTTGATTAAGGCTACTCATTAAATAGACATTGAGTACCCAACATATGCTAGCAGCAGCTTTAAAATTTTAAAATTAGATTTGGTTGTTTTTTAAGATTTGAAATTTATCATAGTACATTTAAAGCGAATGATGGGGGAATGATGACGGGCCCGATTAAGATCTTATGCTTTCGTCATCCCAGGCTATTGTGGCTCCGAATTTACTTAGTCAGAGGAGGTAGTTGACCCAACTTGACGGGAGGATCTTTGTCGGCAGCAATGGGCTTTGTCTTCCAAGGGTAATGATGACTGGCCCGATCAAGATCCTATGGTTCCGTCATCTCGTGATTTTCTGGCCCCTTGTTTACTTGGTTAGATGAGATAATAGATCCAACCTGACCAAAGGATTCTTGTCAGCAATCATGAGCTGCGTCGTCCAAGAGTATCTTGTAAACTTGGGGTGAATGTTTTCTTAAGGGGACAAATTTGAGTCCACCTTAACTAACAAAGGGTTTTATGCTCTATCAATTATATCATATTGATTCATTATTCAAGGTTTTAGAGTTGTTGGGGAACATACGAGCTATAGTTTTAATTGTAATTTAGTGGTGCTATTTAACGACAAAATCACCCTATCATGACCATTTACCTTTGGTGCCATTTGGTGGTGAAACCACCGGTTAGAGTGCACGTGTCATATTTTACTGCTAGAGATTGTTTGAAAATGAATCTTAATGATAGTTTTGACTGGATATTCATTCTTTGTGAGCTGAAGTGATTTTCAAAGTAGATGGATTTTTGTTTTAAGTTGTGTAATAAATTTTATCTTGAATTGTTTAAGTTTTGGTGATTCTTGAATTTTGAACTTTCATTAAAATCAAAGCCTCCTTAATGATTAATTTTGAGATTTGAGGACAATTTAAAAGATAGAGATCCCTTATGTTGAGATTAACTTTCAACTCGGCCATCATGGGGGTTTATAGATATATCATTTTACTAGTCAAACATTGTCGACTCTGTTTGCTTGTCAACAGAGGATCGAGTTCGACAACTGATTTTTAGGGTTTTCTTATAGGTAGCAGGACTGAGAGTCCGTAATTTAATATGTGAATTTTCTTTATAAAAAACCTCGATTTCCTAAAGTGAACATATAAAACCAAATATTTTGGCTGACTCACCCAACACCAACTCCGATAGTTTGTATTTTGGTAGTGGATTTTCCTTAGAAGAGGCCTTGAAGAACTAATGTGGATGCATAAAATCAAATATTCCAGTCAACGCTATGACCTTGTATTTGTATGTTGATTCAAGTTATGTCAATCCTGATTAGTTTAAAGAGGAGGATCGGACTTGGACTCAAGTTCAATTTTGACCCGCACAACATTCTTGGACCTCAGGTTTGAAAATTTAGCATAACGATCGGAGCACATATAAGTGTTTCATATTTCACTCCTAAATAAGATGTGCACATTTCAATAGTCTTAAAATTCACTTATCTTTTTCATAGCCCACGCAACATCCTTGAACGACATGCTTGTATGTTTGTTGCACTCATCTGCAGAGCCCATGTGGGTGTGTACTTTTCAACACATTATGCATCATACATTTACAAGATGACTAATGCATTTTTATATGATATGCATGATGCATTTGTATGATTGTAATAATGCATTTATATATTGGATAATGTACATGCATGATCCCTTTAGTTTAGTATGCATGCATGATGCATTGGATGTGATCGACATATATGCACGTTCACATACACATTCGTGTGTGTATTTGTATATTTGCACGCTTTCATATGCATTTGCATATATGCATACTTTGTATTTGCAGATGTATTTGCGCATTATTTAATGTGCTTGAAAGACATTTTTGTATATTTTTGGTATGTGTGTATGATGCATTGGCATGTTGCTTGACATGTGCAAGTGATACACGTGCAGGTTGTATGTTTGTATATTTGGGTGTTTGCATGTGCATTTGCATATTGCATGGCATGCTCATGCAATATACTCACATGTTCCATAGTATGTTTGGATCAACCACCAAGGTTCAACGGATTTGCACAAGAGACAAAGCTTTCATATTCATTCAATATACTAAAAAGGAGTACATGAGGTGTTTTTATGGATAAGAAAATGACTCATGAGTCCATTAGGGTTTCGGCCAATCCATACATGGAATTGGATAAATTTTCATGTATTAAACTCTTCCATGATTGGAGGGCCAACCAAGACAATTTGGAGGGAGTCTTGACATGTTTTTCCACTCTTTTTTCCTTGCTTTAAAGTATATGAGTCTGCCTTCCTGCCTTGTAAGGTGGAGTGGTTTTGTAGAATGAGCATTTACTTGAATTCCAAGAGGAGACTTGAGCCAAGCTTGATCTAGCTTCCATGCTTTGAGATTTGGACTGTTGTTGATGATGATAATTTGGAATCTGGATGCAATGATCTATTATATGCTCTGATCTTATGTTTGTGCATTGTGCTGCATCAAAAAGGGGCAGACTAAATACAACATGGTTGGAGTATTAGAAAAAAAAAAGATTCGTGGAAAAAATATGCAAAGTAGGCTTAACACGTCGCACAACAGTGAAAAATTGAAAAGAGGAGTCATAAAACCCACCTCAATTTGTTGGGGTGTGGCTAATAATTATGATGGTAAAAGTTGAAGCCGAGGGGAGGCCCTGAAAAAAAAATGGAAGCTATAGAGAGGAGAAAATAGCTCTGAAAGAATTAGTATTAGTATTAGAATATCTCTTTGTGCGCTAATCATGCAGTAATCAACAATATATCAAAGATGGGTTGTTTCCCTGCAAAATCATAATTGCAACAGTATTTCAAAGATGATGATAATTGCTTAGTCAAATCTTAACCTCATTTTTTGTTTGATACTGGTGGTTGCTTTTGTTTATTTATGATATAGAGTGTGAAAATATGGTTTGACCAGTTATGAAACTTTTGGTTTGTGGATGGCTCAGGCTATACCAGCATATGGCAGACCTACTTTTTCTTCTGAGCATCCTCCAAGAACAGATGATACCAACCTTGCTATGTTATCAAAACCAGCTTTTGAAACTACTCAATGTAGAAATTATGAAGGCACTGGGACTCTGTATGTCAGAGATGGTTTTGATCGTTTTGGAAGATATGATAGGACACCGGCGCCATTTCAAAGAAGTGAAACTGACTATTATGGGAATTATGACAGGACTTCATCATTTCAAAGAGGTGCATTTGATTTCCATAATGCATACAGCGACTCTAATCTCCATGATACAGGCTCATTTGGAAGAAGTTCCTCTTCTTTTGGTGGAATGAGCCCATACCAAACACCGAGGTCTACAGATACCTTTTTAAGACCAAAGTTTGAGGATTCCAGCCCCATTAGCAGGCCTTATGGATACTCACCAACTCCCCCATCTTATGGCAGTCATGGTGGACAGTTTCATGATCCTGGAGCTCCTCACTTCAATCACCATCCTGCAATGACGGATCAATATGACCGGATGCCCCCTCAAACACTTTATGGTATGTTTCTCTTGTGCTGGTTCATGTGCCAACAAAGGTAGTCTTTTTGTTTGAATGGTAATATATTACATCCAAATGCACAGCTTTTTGAGTTCTGTTTCACTTATTTCATTAATGGTTCACTACCTCTTAGTTTAGAAATGTATCGGGCTTGTTATGTGATAGAAATGTACCCCTCAAACTTAAGTGAAAATTCTATAAGATGACAGTGAGGCCTACAATGCTTTATGGTGCCGAATGTTGGTCATTAAAAGAGAAGCATAATACTAAGTTAAGTGTGGCAGAGATGAGGATGCTCAGGTGGATGAGTGGCTTTACCCTTAGAGATAGGATACGAAATGAGCATATACATGAAAAGGTTGGAGTAGCTCCAGTAGAAGATAAGATTAGAGAGAGTCGCCTTAGATGGTTTGGTCACATAAAACGGCGGCCTTCCGATGACCCGGTTAGGCGAGTAGATGTATTAGATTTGACTTATGTTAAGAAAGGTAGGGGTAGACCTAAAAAGACTTTGTTAGAAAATATTAGGAATGACCTTTCTTTATTAGATTTAAATGAGAATTTAACTTTTAATATGACACAATGGAGAAAAAGGATTCATGTAGCCGACCCCACGTAGTGGGATAAAGGCTTGATGTTGTTGTTGTTGTACCTCTTAGTTAAGCTATTGCATTTTTTTTTAGACAATTCTATTAGAAAAGCACGTTCTTAGCACATGGTTATAACGAGCATGCACTTCATTAATTTTGTAAGTATTTCCTAACACATTTGAAGTTAGTCTTTCCTTTTAATGCTTAAAAATGTCTAACAAATTTTTAGTCAAGAAATTCATATGAATAAAACTAGTATCATTTTTAAGTTGGTTGGTTTCAGCCAATACAGAAATATTTCTTGTCACATTTAGCTGATATAATCTACATGAAACGACAAACACCTTTCATTGAAAAGATAAACTTAGCCGAGGAGACATCTTATGAAATTGATGCAACACAAGCAAGGAGGCCTCTCACTAGATCAATATTCAAGGCCCGTTATTATAATAATTAATTTATCTTATTTTATTTTAGGGGGCTGATTATGCAGGGTTTGGAGAGAACATTTTAAGTACAAAAAAGTATTTTGAAATTATGCCAATCTGACTAAATTAAAGATTCAAGAGAAACAATTAAATATTTAATTGAATCGTTGAAATCGGAATGATACTATTTGTTTTCAAATGGGGAGAGATCTTGAGTGGGCTATCATTATAGGCTTATAGCCTATGAACTAATTTTTAAGGAGGGCTTTTGGTGTGTTTCCTTATGAGTTTTCTTCTTTTTCTACAACACTTTATTGATTATTTATACCCTCATTCATTCAATGAAAAATAATTTTGATTTCTCATAAAAATGTGTGTTTATAAAGAATTCGAGCTATCAGCTTTTAGATTGATTTGCAAATCAACTAAGGTTTCCAACTCTAACATAATCTTTTCTCTCTTGTTTCTTATTATCCCACATGCCAACACCTTTCCAAAGCCTTAGCCTATTTTAATACTTGCAAAAACTAAGCCATTACCTTCCACAAAACCCTAACTCCTACTATCCACTTATTGTGGTTAGTCCACATAAAAAATTCTTAACTTCCTAACGATACATCCAATTAATCTTAAATCTCCACCATTAGTTCGCAAACTTCTCTTTTTTATTGTACACGTCCTCAAACTTTTTCGTTTACTTATCTTCCACTAAAAGAAAAATTCAAGTATGATCAAGCTATTAAGATATTTTGATAAATTGTTTTTTCTTAAAAGAGGATATTCAGTATAGGTGGATGAGTTATTTTGATAAAACATTTAATGAATGTGAGAATAGAATTAATTTTAGTGACCTTATCACTCTAAATGAAAATAAATACTTTTATTTTTATCATTGAATTAGTAAATATGTTTTATGTCGAGAACCACATAGCACATGATCTGATTATATATCCTTCATTATCTGCTTGTGCTTCACTCTAGAGAATATACCATCTTTCAACAATTTAACATTTTTTTCCAATGTCTCAACTCTTCTTCCGGCCATCAGTACTCGGATCAAGGCTTTAACAACAAAAAAACGACAACTTTGACGTGAATCTGGCCTCGAAACAGCAAAATTCAACAAACGGAGAGGAAGAACTCAGTTAACATTAGCGAGGAAACCGTGATATTTCAGTCCATGACATCACTTTGATACCAATTCGATACGCCTTGGTATCAAAAATAGCCAACGAACAAGAAAAATTCAGCACAAAACATATATTTTTATTGCTAAGAAATCAAATAGCAAAAGCAAGATACAATGATCCTCTTTCAAGAGCATGACCTTCTCTCCCAAACCCTAGATGCTGCTAGGATCCCTCACACTAAGAAGCAAGTAGGATATATTTTTATTGCTAGCCCCACAAGGTGTCCCCCCTGGCATATCATACAACAACAACAACAACAATAAGCCATTATCCCATTAAGTGGGGAATTAAGTTAATGTGTAATACATTAAAATTATATGAGATAATATGATGTGAAACAAATCCGGAGTTACTTGGGGAAATTAAAGAGAGCGAATTAACAAAGTGTTTCCACAATACATTTATTACTTATAACAATGATTGACCCTTAGAATTCTTAGTTTTTAACTTGCTTAGGCAAAGAAGAGCGAAGTCGGTTAACCAAACAATTTAAGAAAACGCAAAGATCAATTGTAAAACTACGATGATAAACAAGAATCCGCGATTTAATAATGAGAACTTTCACCTTTGGAGCCCATACGCTCAACTAGTCTAGGCTTTTAGCGGAAGAAGAGTCTCCACATTAGAACCGAGGTCACTCCGAGGAAGAAGGAGCCTAAGATCGTCGTTCTTGGATAGGTGGCCGGAGTGGTGGAGGATGACGGTCGTCCAAGGATGATCCAATGTCCCTTTGATCTTTGCTCGTCGATCACATCCACTAAGGTGTAATGGATACGGTCGATATAATCTTCAATGGTATTGTCTAAATCAAAGCCCACGTCAAAGAACGGTGATTGGAGGATGTCAACTTGATCTTGGTCGTCATACACAAATCCAAAGTTCCATTCGGGCTTCGCCATGCATCCTCGTCAAGGGTTGAATGAGTACTCAGGATGGGAGAGGGAGGAGTTACGGTTTTGGAGGAGAGAGAGGGGGTGGGTGAGGTTATGAGGGGAAAAACTAAAATCTGAATTTTAGTTCAGATTTCCAAAAGTGAGGAGGGATTAATTTCAGTTTTTAAAATTTGAAATTGAAATTAACTTATGAGGAAAGGGATTAAGGAAGTAATAAAAGAGAATTAAAATGGGAGAGAGAGAGAAGTGGCTGACCAAGCTAGAGGAGAGAGGGGGTTCGGTTTTGATGAGGTGGGGCCCAAGTTTAAGTAGATAATTGAATTAAATCTGAATTTTAATTTCAGATTTAATTATTTCTTAAGTAACTTCCCAAACTTTAAAATGAGAGGGAAACCAAATTTGAATTTCGAATTTGACTTTAATGTCATTTATGGGCTGGATTAATGAATGAGCACCAATTAGGAAAGTGATTACTCAAGGGTTTTGAAATTCAAATGCTGAGAATTCAGGAGGGGGAGGCGGCGGGATGGAGCTGTGGGGCTGGCCGGCGAAAGACAGGCCGGCGGGGAGGCTGGCCGGCGGGTGGTTGAGCGGCTGGCCGGCGGAATGCTGTAGCCAGTGGCCGGCGGCTTTGGCCTGCTTGGAGTAGGTGGCGGCAAGAGCAAAGGGAAAAGAATTGGGAGTTTCTAGGGACTTGAGTAGCTACGGATCCACTAACCTCAATTGCTTTCAATCCGAATTTCCACCACGAATGAGGGGACGAGAATTTAGGACTCACAAAGAGATCTATTTCCTCCGACGAACTCACTAAGAGATCGCGGAGGAGGAACTCACAAAGAGAACTCAAAGTAAAATTTTCATTTCATCAAAAACTGAAATTACAATGCATGAGGCCTCATATAAATAGGCCAAAATAAAATAACAAAAAATGACACAAATGCCCTTCCGGGCTACATAAGCGACTCAATGCCCATAAGGGCAAAAGAAGAAAAACATCAAAATAAAATAAACTACTACATAAAATGACAAAATACAACTCATGCTCGTGGCCGTCAATCTCCGACGTCTCATAAAGGTACATGTGTTGAAAATGCTGACGATGTCCTCATCATAATAATAGTGTATAGGGTACGACGTGATACTAATTTTCTTTAAATTAGTTCGGATTTATGCTGGGTAGGTCTACTATGGAAGTTATACATTTGTTGAGAGTTTTGATGGAGAAGTATAGAAATAGTATGGCGGATCTATTTATGATAATTATTGATTTAAAGAAATGATATGATCAATTTCTAAGATTAGTACTATGGAGAGTTTTAGGAAAGAAAGAAATTAATAATATTTATATTCAAGTCTTTAAGACATGCATATAAGAGCTGCTAGTTGTGTTCAAACACAATATGGTTTGACTAAATATATATATATATATTTTTATGTTGGATTTCATCAAGGATTAGCTTTAAGCCCATATCTTTTTGCTTTAGTCATGAATGTTCTTATTAGACATTTGCAAGAGGATGTAGCTTGGTATATGTTTTTTGCTGATGATATTCTTGTTGATAAGACTTGAGAAAAAAATTCAAGGAGTGTAATTTTTATAGTAGTAGATCTAGTGTGGGATTGTGACATTGGGTGATTAAGTCATTAAAAAAGGTGCTTGTTTTAGATATCTCAGCTCTATTGTTCAAAGCGATGGTGAAATAGATGAGGGTATTATTGATAGAATTCAGTTTGGATGGTTGAAGTGGATGAATTCATCAAGCTGATTGTGTGATCGAAAAGTATCACTCAAACTTCAGAGAAAATTTTATAAGATGATAGTGAGACTTGCAATGCTTTATGGTGTTGAATGTTGGCCATTAAAAGATAAGCATAAAATTAAGCGTTTCAAAGATGAGAATGCATAGGTGGATGAGTGGCTTTACATTTAGAGACATAATACAAAATGAGTATATACATGCAAAGGTTGGAGTAGCTCCAGTGGCAAGTAAGATTAGAGGGAGCTTCTTAGATTGTTTGGTCACATAAAACGTCAGCCTTCCGATGACCTTATTAGGAGAGTAGATGTATTAGATCCGGTCTATGATAGGAAAGGTAAGAGGTAGACCTAAAAAGATTTAGTTAAAAAGTTAAAAATGGCATTTTTTAAATTAGATTTATATAAGAATTTGACTTTTAATAAGTCACAATGGAGAGAAAATATTCATGCAGCCGACCCCATATAGTAGGCAAAAGTCTTATTGTTGTTATTGTTGTTGTCATCTTCTTATATTGTTTGCCAATTGCAATGATTACATTACATAGAATAAATGCTTAAAAGCTCATAATGTGCTACTTAATTAGGGTTTTTAAATTAACATTTTAATAATCTTTCTTTTAGTTCTGCTATCATACACGTTTGGTTAACATGATGATAAGTCTTTAAGAGTAAGATAGTTTTTTTTTTTTTTTTAAAGTAGCTCCAGAAAAGCTTTTTTAGCGATGAAAAACACCGTAGTGTGAATATTTGTTGCTATTGGGCTGAATTTGAACAACGGAGGACTTTGCACCTTTTTTCACTCGTCATGGTCAATAACAACTTAAATATGTCATATTTGCTTGTACATTCAACTTAGATTGCTAAGAATGCAGCAAATTTCATTGTTGTGTAAACTATGCTTTGCATTTTCAAACTGCCAAACAAGCATTTCTTTTACATTGGCATTGATATCATTCTTTCCCTTTCATCATCTAGAGTCAAACATTGGGTTTTTTGTTAGATTTGAAATTGAAAGATGCACACATTTGTTATTGAAACAAGATTGCGTAGGCTAAAAAATTTCTTTTCACGTTATATGTAGTTTCTGCAAGGCAGGACCATATGTTGGCTGCCTCTTTCCTTTTATGCTTCAATGCATGTGTTCTACTCTCCATTGATTTTCTATGTTTCTCAAAAATTTAATTGACAACCAAGTCTCATTATCTTTTTAAATGATGATAACTGTCACGTTCTGGCAATCAGTTAGATGGCTAAAATATGTTTCAGATTGAAAATTCTCAGTAGGTTGATGTAGTGTTGTCGTTGATTTATATTGTTATTTCTACTGGATTTCATTAATGATGCAATTGCTTGTAAATAAGTAAAAGCTTGATTTCCATTATCAATGCTCTCTTCTGATGAGTAAATTTTTATGATCATATTGTTTGGTTATTTGTATGAGTTAACTTCAGTAGTATTTAAGGAATTTTATTAAATCCAAATTTAATAAATCTTGAGGAGAATAAGGTTTTATTTGGGGTAGCTTTTTTGTTATTTTGTAAAACTGATATAGAGAAAATAATTTTTTAAAGCTGTTGTAGAAAGTCATTTTTTTTTTGAAAGCAACGAAAAAATAGTTGTCATTAAAAAATAAAGCAATAAAAAAATTATTTCAAATGAAGCCTAACACTTGACGATTATTTGATATGATAATTGTTAAATTCTGATAAACTATTCAATTCTTTATTTCAGGATTTAAGAAGATTTGTAAGAGGGAGAAATCCTTTAATATGTTAAATCCATTAAATCTTGTGAATGTTAGAACTTAAATAAGCCTGGAATAGGACTTATCGAAATACTAGGATTTAAAAAAATCTCCAAAATATTGATCGGCAGGATTTAAGTTAGGATTTGTTTGGGACAGCTTTCTTACTGCTTCTTAAAATAACTTTTTAATTTTAAAGCTATTGTAGAAAGTCAGTTTTTAATAAAAATTTTTTAAAGCAATAAAAAAACAATTGTCATTGCAGTCTAAAAAATAAAGCAATAAAAAAGTTATTTCAAATGAAGATTGTTTGTTATGATAATTGTTAAATCAAAATAAACTATTCAATTCTTTATTTCAGGATTTAAGAAGATTTGTAAGAGGGAGAAATCCTTTAATATGTTAAATCCATTAAATCTTGTGAATGTTAGAACTTAAATAAGCCTGGAATAGGACTTATCGAAATACTAGGGTTTAAAAAAATCTCCAAAATACTGATCGGCAGGATTTAAGTTAGGATTTGTTTGGGACAGCTTTCTTACTGCTTCTTAAAATAACTTTTTTGTTAAAAAATTAAAATTTTCGTACTAGAAAGTTGCTTGTACTAGAAAGCTTCGTTAAGAAGTAGTAAGAAAGCCGTCCTAAACGAAGCTTAAATCTTACTTAAATCCTGCCAACAATACAAAGAGGCCCTTAGTAAATTTTGAATATTTACAATGTGTCTGAAATTTGGATTCAGACTCTTAAAATGATTTCTTTTCTCCATGCAGGATCTCCCTATGCTCCGACGCCACCACCTAGGCCTTCTCCCCTATCCCGCGACGTTCGTCCAAGGATAGATTACCCTCCTTATGCACGGAACCATTGAATGAAGAGGAATACTCAGAACCGTGTGGATATTTCGAGGTCAAGGGTAGCGTTTTTTGTTGTTGTTGAATATAAATTCTCCTCTCTTATTCCTTACTCCATCAAAGCAATTTCCTAACTATTGCATATCATATTACATCGGACTTGTTAGATTTGGAAACGAGGACCTCAATGCATGTGTTTACTGTTCTGGCTGCTTATTTCATATGAATTTAGGTTTTGTTTGGGATGACTTTTTTGCTGCTTTTTAAAGCAGCATTTTAATACAAAAATTAAAGTGTTTAGGCTTCATTTGGGACATTTTTCATATTGCTTTTTAAAATGGCTTTCTAGTTAAAAAATTTCAAATTCAAGAAATTTTTGTACTAGAAAGTTGTTTTAGAAAGCAAGAAAAAAGTCGTCCCAAACGAAATCTTATACTAGAAAATTGTTTTAAGAAGCAAAAAAAAATCTGTTCCAAATAAAGCCTTAGGGGCTGTTTGGTATCGGATTTATCGTGGGATTTAAGTCGGATTTATGCTAAATCCAGCCAAACGGTTTTTGTGCGCGAGTTAAATCCCGGGATTCCGTAAATCCTGGATTTACGGATTTACGGCTTAAATACCGGATTTACTAAATCCCTCGGTTCGGTGGATTTAACGGGATTTAACATTAGAAGCGCGCGAAAGGGAGAAAGTTAACTTCACAACCAGCGAGCTCCTGTTCTTGCTTCCGATCAAAATGTTGTAACTTCCGATCCGATAAGAAGGGAAAGTCGTCGAAGGAGCGAAGTCGAACAGCCACGAAGGAACCATGTTGTAACTTCCGATCCGATAAGAAGGGAAAGTCGTCGAAGGAGCGAAGTCGAACAGCCATGAAGGAACAGAAGTAGCGACGCGCGCAATCTGTACACCTCATGCGAATCAACGAAGTCGAAAGGAGTGAAGTCGAACAGCCATGAAGGAACCGAAGTAGCGACGCGCGCAATCTCTACACCTGCGAATCAACGAAGCCGAACAGCAACGACGTGTCAACAAAGAGACTACATCCTTAATGTTGTTAATAAGAGATAATGGAATCACAAGAAGTTTTCATTTGAGAACAATATTTTTCATATTAGTGAGAGTGATAAAAATATATGCTTAAGTTGTCATATTAAGGTTTTTTGGCATAGTACCCACTATAGAAGGAATGTGTGAGTTAAGTATCAGGGAAAATGTAATAGTCCAAACTTTTAAGTATAGAAATATTGCTCGCTTTTGCATAATAATGTCGTAGTTTTATCCTATTGATATAACTTTACACCAGGTCATCTATCCTAATATTGCTCCCGCTCGTGCACACTTAACTTTAGAGTGTCTTAATGAAATTTCAAACATTACACTAAAAAGTATCTCGATGTTTAAGATTTTAGCTTCTTTTCACTTAAGCGGTTTCATAATTTTTCCCACTTAAATAATTGATGTCTTTATTAGTATCATTATCCCATAATCACCCACGAGTTAGATAAGATTTTAGAGGTAACCTTTATAAGTTCAAATTATGAGTCTCATAAGGTTCAAACAAGTGACTAACATGGCATCTCATTTTGACACTTAGATCACATTTTTCGGCTCGTAGTGCTTTGGTACCTTTATGTAATAACTCAAACATTTAACTATCGATATATTATTTGTTTTGGCCTAATGACATCAAAGTTTTGTCTCATTTGTGTAACTTTTCAAGAGGTTGTCTAGTTGGTATAACTTCCAAGGAGATTGCCCATATCAAGATTGTTCCTGTCTGAGCACGTTAAACTTTGAAGTTACTTAATGAAATTCTAACCAGTCAATATTTAGGTTGTCTTGGTGGTGATGAACAGGCTGGCCAAAGGCCGGGTACCGAGTTCGAATCCCTTGGCAATTCGTGACAGCCTTAAGTGTCGGTCCATGCAAATGGTGTGGGTTGCATGCTAGGTCGACCGGATCATCTCCTAACGGGGATGATCTGCTTTTTAATTTAATATTTAATAATTAATTATTATTTTTATCTAAGGGGTTTAACCAGAAACGTGATAAGATATATGAAATGTGAAGTCATACATCGCTCACATTGATATGTTAGTTGAGAATTTTGAGGTTATATATTTAAAATTTATATATGTGATTTACTTAATAACTTAAACGTTAAGAAAAAAAAAATCATATTGCAAACATTTTTAAACAACGTACTGACTTCTATATGACAGAGAGGCGTGGCTAGCACATTCACGGCTCTGATCTGAACCCAATACGGAAGTAGAAAAAAGATCGACTCTTAGCCGTTGGATCATCAGCCAGTTGTTTCCAGTATTAGGGCTAGGGTTTTGTGAAAATTCTATTAATAGCAGCGGCTGAACAATCCCTTCAACCTCAGCTGCGTTCTCGCCGCACTAGAACCTTTATCGGTTTCGCAATTAGAAGGTAACGATCGATCTTCGCACTGTAAGCTTGTCTTTCTGTTCATGAATTGAAAGCTTCGATCTCTTTATTTGATCCCTGCTCTAGGTTCTTGCAGTGGTCTAGGGTTTTTGCGACTAATAATAAAAAAAAATGGGTTTTTGAGTCCTTATTGTATCCCTTTCTCGCACGGTGCACCCCGGGCTGTTCCGAAACCCCATGACGAAGGTAGCCCCAATGCTCGTGCAAGAGCTATCGTCCGTTCTGTGTTGCAGTTCTGATCGTTGTTAATTTGACAGATCTGTGTCAAAGCAACGGCTAAATTTTTTGTATTTGTTTAAAATTCTTATTTTTCATAGTTCTTCACTCTCCTCACGTTTTACAGTAGGATCTCCACACCTGATGGGACAATCATTTCATGATTAAGAGAAAGAAAATTATTTCTACGCCTTGTTGTCTGTTATGTCGATTTACAGTATGAACTGATCCTTCATTTTTCTATATATATAGCAAGGCTGGTAAATATGTTTTTATATACCCTCCTTGATCTATGCAATGGACTATGTTGGCGATGATTAAAAATTACCCGCGCTTCTGAAGCATAATCGCTGATGTATACTGCAAATCAATGGTTGAATTTCTTAATATGAGCCAGCTTATATTTAAAAAGTAGTTTTTTGTTAATTTATTATCACATGAGAGTTTATGTTGAATGATTGTGTTTTTGTTTTTCTGTTTTTTGAGTTCTTAAGAACATATGGCAATGAAGATAGTATATTCAGCTAAAAATGTCAGTTCTGCTTCTGAAAATTTATGAAAGAGAGCTGATAGTAAACTGAGCCTTTGTTTTAGTATTTTTCTTATTGTTTCTCTTCCGAAGTATACTTTTTTTTCTTCTTTCCTTTGACTTGTTCAGGAGTGCCCTTTTTTTTTTATCAAGCTGCAGTAGCCAATGATGTTTTGTCCAAAATTTTGAGGTGTTGCAAGTCCAAGACCCTGTTTATCAGGGAGAACCTCCTTGGACTGCTATATTCAAATGACATTATTGGACCTTTCTGAGGCATTTCCTAATATATTTCTTGAGTTGTTTTTCCTATTTGTTTTCTTTCTGTTATTTCTGTCAATGGTTTTACAGTATTTTGATCTCTAAGAAAATGCTGAAGCCGATTATGTTTCCTAATTTTTGAGGTGTTGGAAGTTCAAGGCTCTATATTGGAGTCTTTTTGTAGCTGTATATATAGAGTAAGGCTTTGTTTGAGATGGCTGTTTTGTTGCTTCTTAAAGCAGTTTTTAATTAGAAAAATTATAAATTTTATATTAGAAAGCTTCTTTAAGAAGCAACTAGAAAGTCTGTCTCAAATGAAGCTATGCTTTTGAGTTTGACATGATTATTAGCCCTTTCTAGTTCTTACAAACAATTCTCAATTTATAATCAAGCAGCAACTGATGATGTGCTGTCCAAATTTATGAGGTGTAGAAAGTTCAAGACCCTGTTTATCAGGGAGAACCTCCTTGGACTACTGCATCCAAATGATATTATTGGACTTTCCTGAGGCGTTGCTTATATCTAAAATAGATTTCCTTCAATTTAATTCAGTAGATTGAGCTATTGTCATGATCTAATTAGTACATAAACAAGACTACAACAACAACATCAAGCCTTTATCCTATTACATAGGGTTGGCTACATGAATTCTTTTTCGCCATTGTGTCGAGTTAAAAGTCAAATTCTCATTTAAATCTAATAAATAAAGATCATTTCTAATATTTTCTAACCAATTTTTTTAGGGCTACCTCTACCTTTTTTTACATAAGTCAAATCTAATACATAACTTTTCTTCTAAGTGGGCCTCTTTTTAATGTTACAAAACCATTTGAAGGTCTTTGTTTAATGTGCCAATATTATTATTTAGTTGCAAGTTGTCAGGGACGTGAGATCCAATATCGCCTATATCCTAATATCTAATTTTTGCTCGTACTCTTTACATTCCAAAAAATAAAACTCTGTTATACTTTCTGAGAATTTTTTTTTTGGAGAATTTTGGAGCAAAAGCCCATGTATTAAAAACTCTCTCAACCAATAGGCCAAAGAGAGTTGTGTTTAATGTGCCAATATTATTATTTAGTTGCAAGTTGTCAGGGACGTGAGATCCAATGTCGCCTATATCCTAATATCTAATTTTTGCTCGTACTCTTTACATTCCAAAAAATAAAACTCTGTTATACTTTCTGAGAATTTTTTTTTTTTGGAGAATTTTGGAGCAAAAGCCCATGTATTAAAAACTTTCTGAGGATAACTAAACATGATTATGCAACTGTAAATTTTTCTATTTGACCTGTTCTGTTTGTTCTTGAGCCTGAAAATTGCATCTTTGCATTGTTGTGTTCATGTGTACATGTCATTAAAGCTTCATATATATTTTTTTCAATTGGAAGTTATATTCAAGCTTTTTTCTTGGCAGTTCTATTTAAGTTTTCCTTTTTCTTCCTAGAAGTTCAATTGGCATTGATGTGAAGCAATCCTCTTGCTTTGCATGAATCAGCGGTTTATTAATCTGTTTTTTCGTGTCCTTCACCGAGTTTGATTGAGTAAAAATGGCACGAAATGTCCTAAATGCTGCATCTATTTCAAATTTTATGATATGAAAGTATTCTATGGACTGTTTTCTGATTTTTTCCTTGTATAAAGCAGATATTTGCTTAAAGATTGGGAAATTCTTTCCTACTACATATTGAAGAGAGAGATGCTATTCTTCTCTTATTTCAAAGAACTAGTTGGGAAGGAAGTCACAGTTGAGCTGAAGAATGACTTAGCAATCAGAGGCATTCTCCATTCAGTCGATCAATATCTGAACATAAAGTTAGAAAATACTCGGGTTGTGGACCAAGAGAAGTACCCTCATATGCTTTCTGTTAGAAATTGTTTCATCAGAGGATCTGTAGTTAGATATGTTCAGCTGCCGCCTGATGGAGTTGACATTGATATTCTTCATGATGCTACAAGGAGAGAAGCACGAGGGGCTTAAGCTGATGTAATTAATAATCTATTGTAATTTTTCCAACCACTGTCTTATTTTGGCCGGTTTATCAATCATCGGTAGATTTTAGTCTGTTGTTAACTTGTTGTAATTCCAGCATCTCAAAGTAAAGGAGCAAATCAAATTTTGTAACTAATCCAGATATAGTGGAAACATCTCATCTGGGCCAGGCCCTGTGGTTTTTCCCTTTTTGGATTTTCCACGTAAAAAAGTTTCTGGTGCTTCTCTCTTAATTATCTGTTGGTGTGCTGGATATATGTATATTATTAAGACGTTATATTTTTCACTCTACCGCCGCGTATATTCTAGTCCGCAACATAGCTGATCTTGGTTTTGGCATTTGGTACCCTTCACGGACCTAAACTCTACTGGCGTCTTCGATTCTCAATCGATTTGCATTCTTGAGGAGATGGAGAAGCGCAAATCTCGGTTCTGACATTCGGTACCCTTCACATATACTAAACATCTAGCGGCTTCTCAGTTTCACAATCGATCTGCATTCCAGAGGAGATGGTGAAGCATTGGGAAAATCATTCGTCTGAAGTGAAATAAACTTCAGCAGCTATAAATTTCCCTAAGATTCTACAAATCTTATTTAAATATATTCCAAAATTATTAGAAGCTGATAGAACAAAGACTGAAGTTTGTCTGAAGTGAAATCAACATATTTTAGATTCAATCTACCAGCTTCTTGATGTCATTTTAGATTTCAGTCATATTTGAAGCTTCTACTTCCATAAGGAAAAAACAATAAGGGGTACGAATTATTTTTTTTTTTTTTTCATTTTACGACCTTTTAATCATAATTAGGACTTTGTCCCTATGTTGCAACTGATACATTATAGTGAAATTATCTTGATTGGGCACGAATCTCGATGCAAAACCCAACCCGAAAACTTCAAAAATTAAATTCGGAAGCACCCAAACTCCGATTTCAATGAACTCACAATCAAACTGAGCGTCTCAGAAATACAAACCCAACGACACCAAATTCAACCCAATCCGAGCACAAATGGTTCCAAATCAAGGACCCAAAGCGTTGTTGGAAGGTTCAAACAACAATTTGAGTTACCAACAGTCTCCGATTTTAACGAGCTTATACTCGAATCGACCGGCTCGACAAGAAAAATCCAACGAGCCCAAGATCGCCAAATTCTGACATCACTAAGGCCTTCAAATGTCTAACGAACGGTGCTTGATCGTAGGATTCAATATCGGCCGTCCATTCGTCCATTCCCTATTCGCCCCTAATCTCACGACTATTTACGAGCTATTTCACTCCAAAAAAAAACTATAAATATAGCCCTCATTCTTCACAAAGGGGACTCAAGTGAATAGAGAGAGGAAGAAGAGAAGAAGAAGAAGAGAAAAGAGAAAGGGAGAATCATCTCCTCCTCGACCACCGTTGGAGCTCTTCCCACCGCTGGAACTTAGCCTGAATATTTTTTAAATTCAATGTAATTTATTTAGCAATACTTATCAATTTTTTATTAGTTCTTTTAAACTAATTATTGAAACTTAAAAAAAATTATTAAAATTATTTACTTAGTTTATAAATATTTAATATAATTATTTTCTGCTTGTCTAACAAAAAATTTCGTCCCTTGAAAATATTTCGTCGGGAATCTATTAGAAATCGAAAATATTTCGTCGGGAATCTGTTAGAAATCTGTCTGAACGTTCGACGTAAAGAAAAATTCTACTTGCAATCCCGTTAGTAATTTACATTTTTCATGTAGTATTTTATCAAGTTATTTGAGTTGGATTTTACTTTGATACATATTCTTTTTTAAAATAATTAATAGAATTTTTTTTTTAAACTCATCTTCATTTTTTTAACTACTTTTTTTTTTTCTTTAATGCAAAAATCTATACTAAATGTTTCAACACCTGACTTATTGTTTCAAGTCGAGGAAATTCAGTAGCAATCTTAGTTTTTGTAAGAAAACATAGCTTAGTTGCTTTTAACGGTATTGCTGATGTAATTGAAACAGTTGGGTTATATCATGCGTTGTGTTATGTTGCCCTGTCAATAGTATGATTATGTTGCTCATTAGTAGTTAAAAAGGGATCTTTTCTTAATGTTTTTTTTTTCAAGTTTTGGCAATCAATAGATGTTACTGTCATTCTGGAGATTTTGATTTGTATAACTGGAAGTTTGAGATGAAAAAACTACTACCCAATTTATTCTATGAGGCCATTTCAAACGAATGGTTGTAGAAACAGAATGAATATATGGTTTATAATAATTCGGTAGGATGGCTTAGTTTGTGTAAAGAGAGTTAGGAGCAAAAATCTAATCTCTCTCTCTCTCTCTCTCTCTTCAGTTTTAATTTTCTTACCCCACATTGCCAAATTTTTATTAACAGCCAAGAGCTCTTAGAAAATTTAACTTCATCTTAGAATCAGTAGAAACTAGAAAGCAAAAAGAGAGGAGACTAGGAAATATTTTAAACCTTCTTAGTTATTGTATTTTGCTCTAGGGGGATGATGAGATGAGTAAACTCCAAGATAATGATGCAAGTAAGAAAGTTAAAGCAATGGAAAAATAAAGAACATCGGGATTTAATATCAAAAATTTTAAAATATGAAAAAAATTATATAGTGACACAAAATCAAGAATTTCACTATGAAAATTGAGAGAAATACGCACAGATCTCTCTTCACACATCATTTTCAATGTCTAACTATTCAGAAAATACAATAGAAAGTAAGCTATAACCCCCAAGGGAGAAAAATGATTGTTTAGTCTGTTTCGTAGTGTTAGGATGCTCATGAACATAACAGCAAAGCGCTCAGGTACACAGCGCCGTGGCATTATACATAAAATAATTTTAGTACAAAACACCCAAATTCATGCAAGGGGTAAACCTCCCGCACCTCGTAGTGCACACGACAAATTTTAAGATTCAAGATAACAAAATAATCAAATTGATCAACACAATCAGATTCCACGCATAACAGCCTTGCCATACCAACTCCTCTAATCGTCTCACTATGATAATCAAGGTTTGAACATCTATGCTTACTATCTCTAGCACTTTCAATTTACTGATAAGAAAGTTCTTGAGCAGTTTTTGGCTTCTATTTTACCCTTATAATTGTGAGATCCTTTCAGCTGTTTTATTTGCCTAGTCATTTTATTAGATGCTTGCTAATGTATAAATATGCACAAAAAGGAGGAGCCTAATTGATAGCTTCGTAAACTCTGGATTGTGCTACATATTATGTTGTCATTGATAAAGCTAGTAAAATCTTAACCAAACTTTATGAAAGCATCTTATTTATAAAGAAAAATCTTAACCAAACACATTATGTATGTATTTCAGTCCATGTGCATGAAACCTACTGCTAACGAAGAATCCACTTCTCTACCTCGGTGAGTGGGAACTACAACCAAATAAATTTATTCTCCAAAGAGATTGTATAAGTCAGAATGCCAATGAAATTCAAAGTCAGATCCTACCAAACACATTGCATTCTTTGAGTCGACCATCACATTTATAAACATCAATATTGGATTAAAGATCTGTTCTATATCACCTTTAAGGAGTAGGTCCTCGAGTGATTCTCGCACCTTCTACTTGGCGTTCATCATCTCTTTTGTCGAGTTCAATAAGATATTTATTACCAACTTTGAGAGCACCTAGAAGTCTCTCAATAGCTCGCAATCATTCTTGAAATTGAGACAAGAGGCAAGTTTTTGTGAATTTTCATTGTCAAAATTTGAAGGGAGATGTTAGATGCGAAAGATTAGGAGCTGGCTATCACTCAAGCAACTCTTATTCAAGACTTGAGAAGGGCCATTCAAGTACATATTTACTTTATAACCACCCTTTACTTTACAACCACCCAAAAATTTGATAGAGTTATTAAAACTCGCTAAGAAAAATTTCTCTGGCACTTTTTGTCCTATAGAGAAGTAGTCACCAAGTATGATCGTCTGTGATCGTAGAGCAACAACAAGAGTCACCCAAGAGTATATAGGACATATAAGAGGTTGTACTTTCCATAGTTTCATCCTTGTAATTATAAAGGAACGCTACCAGCAAGACCACAGAGGATTGCGGGTCTACCCACCATATAGATGGATGAGGCAATGCCAACAACTCACCAACATCAAGAGGAAAAGTTATAGCTAGCACACTTGTATCTGAGCCCCTTTTTAAATATTAAGGATTGTGTTGGTGGAAGTCATACTGAATAAGGACTTCTTTGAGCACACTTTTCATAAATTCATCCCTATCACCAGAGGACATAACTAACGAGATCATTAAGGAGTGCGGACCCACCCACAACACGAGTGGAGAATGTAGTACTTATAACTCGTCAACATCGAGAGGAAAGATTGCACATGTATACTCGGAGATTTTTATCAATGGAGAGAGAAATGTGACCAAGTTCTTCAACTACACATTTCTAGGGAGGATATGATGGAATAAAAAAGGTTTATATCCCACTACTAACTTCTTTAACATATCATAAAAATGATAGAGATTTTGAGCATTTTAAAATTTTTGAAAGGCTTGAGAAGAAATATTTAATATATACAAAAAATGGTTTTTTTAATAGATATATACACTATATTTCAAAGTCCGTTAAATGGAATATAGAGATTTTGATATTTATCACTAAAAGTTTTGAGAAAAAAAAAATATTTTTCCCCGATCAAATCAATTTTTGATTTTTTTTATAAATTTTTTTATCAAATCAATTTTTGATGATGCATCATCACTATGGATAATTTAGGCTATTACAAAAAATATGATGGGCATAGTTGAGTAAGGACAAACTAGTTGGATTTAGACAATCTTGACATAAATTAGGAAGAATAAGGGGAGAAAAGTTTTAGAACCTAGATAAAAGCTCCAAATGACTTAATGTGAATGTGAGGAATAGAATAAGTAAACAAAGCTTGGAAAATAAAAAGATAATAAAAACTCAAACATGACCACACCTAAGTTCAAGAAGTTGCAACCGAATAAACCCCAAAGAAAAATAAACATTTCTTCAAATATGATTTGTATTCCAAAAGATATACTTACAACCTAAACTTTTACAACTATGAACATTAAAGATAATATGAAAAGACATATGAATACAAAGTTTTATATAAGAACATGAAAAGTCATCTAAATAAATCTTTATGGCCAACCAAAAAAATACATGAATCATAGAATATGAAACATTAATCTCTTTAACTTTCATTTCCTTAAATTAAAGGCCAAAATTAGGAGTCTTTATAGAGAGCTATTTCAATTTCACTCCAAATATTCATAGTAACGCTAGTTATGTTCCCCACCTCTATGGCCATCCAAGGTTTCATGAAACAAAAAGATTGTCCTTGATGTGGCCGGCCCATACAAGAATACATGATAAGCATTAAAATTTTTATGCAATGTCTCAATAAGTTATTCAAGCATGCAAACAACTATTTTCTTTTTTTCCATGTTAACACAAATATAGGAAATGAAAGAAAAATAATGATCACATGAAAATAAATATGAAACTTGAACAAAAAATTGCCTTGATCAGGCATATATTGGAAACTTCCGAAATTAAATTCAGGACTACTTAAAAAAGTAGGAAATATTAGGACATTCTAATCATACAATATTTGTAAAGGTGACTATCTGTATAAACCTTCTAATATCTTTCATTCTTTCTTATCTTTCTTTAATCTCGCATTCTTGTGTTGCATCAAATGGGCTATTTACCCAATCTTTGGTCAACCCTCAATTAGATCATTATAATAGATTTCTTAGATCAGCATACATTTTAGTAAAAAATTATGAATTTAACAAAGGGCAAGGAAATAAAAGTCTACTATTTAACAAAGCATCAATTTCAATATAATGAAAAGGAACATCATTTCCTAAATACAGAACCCAAAGTTACATGCTGTGTTTGCGTCTTTTCCATGCAAAATGGACAACGACATCATGATTCACAGGATGCAAAGGAAACGATATCAAAGAACCATAGAGATGGAGGGATCCAGTAAATGTTTGCCACTATAGTATATTAACAGCATAAAATTCTTTCATGTGATCCACTTCTAATAACCGAGAATGAAAACAATCTATTCCAAGCAAAGTATTCACTTCTTAAGGCAAAAGAAATCAGAGAACCATTAAAAGTATTACCAATTCAAAACATATATGATAGCTCACCATCTGTACTACTCTTCAAAGTTCAGGGAATTGCAGGTGGAGACCAGACTATCTTGTTCATCTTCCATACTAAAATGAGATTTATTTTCAATCAACTGAGCCACCCTCTTAGCACATCCGGAGTCCCTTGGGCTCTCAGCCATGCTCCTGAATGTTCTAATCCTTGGAAGCTTAGTAGCGATCTTCATGATTGATGGAGGAGAGCTCGCAATCAACAACGGCTCACCATTTTCCTGTCTCTCTTTCTCAGCTTCTGATCCATTTGATGATTCTCCCAGAGACAAGGGGCGCTTGTCTGGCTCTGGTAAAGACCACTTCCTCCGTTTGTTTTCAGGTTCCTCGCTATGAGCACTAGCAAGACTAAAACGGCTTGCAACAATCCTCACTTTAGCTTTCTTCAATGACTTTTTGCAGGAGATTGGATTCTGTTTCTCCTGGAAAAGTTCCTTGGGCTTGAGGCTTCCTGAGATGAAATCCTCTCTTTTGACTCCTCTCATAGCACTGACTGTTGCAATCCCCTTCCTTAAATCGGATATAGCTGAAATGGATGGTTTTCGAGATCTAGGACTGACACTCAAGCTCTGCCTCTTCTTTCTTTCTTTAAGTTCTTGAAGCTTACTGGGTAAACGAGATCGAGAATTCAAAGCAATCTCCGAAGGGCCAAGGCTTTCGCCTCTTCGCCTGTAACCAGATCTCGAAGCATCCTTCTTCCATCCATGGATTTCTTTGGCCGTGGTTAGAAATGGCCGAGCTTTTGGTGGGGTATTTTCTTCTTTGATACCTTCAAGTTTCTGGAAGCATGACTTTCCAACGCTACCATGAATCTCCAATGGCCCAAGGCTGAAACCTCTCCGCCGCAGTCTGGCCGGAGATCCTTCCATCTTTTTCGAAGCCGGCAGCGGCTTTTGCTCCATGAACTTTGCCGGCACGATCCTCCCACGCCGTGCAGTGGCGATCTTTAAATCTCTTTCGGCCTTTTTGGTGCGTAGAGATTCCAGTTTCAGAGAAAGCCGCCGGATTTCTTTCTCGAGTTCTTCAATCTCGGCATCGACGTTGTCGTCGTTGGGAATTTCTCCGAAATTCTGCTTGCAAGGCTTCTTTGATGATTTCTCTACGCCCGGATCAAGATTAGGCCAATTTGAGATGTTAAGGGAGATCGGTTGCAGGGGAAGACTTGCTTTTGCTCCGGCAGGATCGTCATCGTCAAACGCGGCGTTGTCCCAAATCTTCAGATTGGGGACGTCGACTGAGAAACTCATTGATTTGGAGATTAGAATGCGATTTTTTGAGATTTTGGGAAGAAATATGTTTTCTTTTGTATTTCGCTGTCGTTAGGAAGAGAGGTTTGATTTTTGTAATTCAAAATTTTTACCGTTGGAACTGGAAGCAAAAGTAGACGTTGGAAATGGTTGAATCTTGACCGTGGGATGAAAAACGGCCCCACGAAGACGCTCCGATGATATTTAACGGATGATGTTATCTTAATTATATTTTGGACCCAAAAAATTTTTAATTGTACCTTCCGACTGTTGATGATTAGTTTACTTCATAATCGTTTAAAATTTTTAATGAAATTTTAATTATTGAAAAAATATTTTATATAAATTAAATGACATAAAATTTTGACAATGTGTAATCTGATCTACATAAACATTTATAAAATATGTTTATGTATAATTATTCATGAAATAAATTGCATGATGTTATTAGATTGATCTTTTTGACCGTTTAATATTTATTGGTTCATTATTTTTTTCTTTTATAAATGTTAGTGCCGCAAGACACTAGTGCAGACGCCGAGTGTCGTCCGGAGACCAACCATAATGCGCCACATCATCTTATGCTCGGTATCGCGACTCGGTATTACTTGATTCCGCTGACGCGGTGTATTCTAACTAGTTTTTGGATGGTGTTCTATATCCGATCTTCACACATAATAATTTCTCCACAACCACAGCCCCTACAAAGCATTGGAAAAAATGTTGATAGAGAAGTGCTTGAAAATTTTTATTTAGAAGTGTACATATTAAGATTTTGTTTGGGAAAATTTTTTATTATTTTATTTTTAGATCACAATCATAATTTCTATTAAATCATTAAATTTTTTGATATTTTTATAATTTTTTGTGCTGGAAATTTTTTTTTATAATATTAAAAAAATAAATCTTTTAAAAAATACAGTAACTTTCTAAAATAATTTTTTTTAAAAAAAAATCATAAAAAATTGTCCGAAAGAAGCTCAAGTCAATCATAAGAAAAATTTCCCACGTAGCAAAAAAGTTTTACTTTTTTAACACAAAAATTTTATTACTTTGTGCTGAAAAATTATTTCAAAAAAAAAAAAAAAATGCGCTCTTAACAAAATCAGGTAACCTTTTGGAGGAGAATATGCTTTGTTTGTGGGCAAATTATTGCGTCCGGTGTCGTCATATCACCAAAATGTAGCGGAACCCAGTGTATTTGAGTGACGCGTCATCGGATTGGATATCCGGACATCCGGTGACCAGACACAATAATTCGTCTTGTTTGTAAGAGTAGGAAGCCACATATCAAAGTAACTTAAGATATAAAGGCCTTTCCGATATATGTAACAGAGTATTACCAATTATCACTTTTCAGATATTCTAAATTTACTTAAAAAATAAAAAATGACAAACAGTATAGTGTAAATCCTATAAAAGCTTTTTAAAATTATTAAATTTATTTTCATATTAATATTATGTATAAAAAATTATATTGGTTGCATCCTGGAATATTCGTAGCGATAGAGAAATATAATGTTTAATGTGTTAAGTTTGTACGGAAATACATCACACAATCAGATAAAAGAGAGGGTAGTGTTCAAAAATACATTATAGTTTTTACGTGGAAACCCCTGAAAAGAGGTAAAAATCATGGAGTATGATCCAATTTTTGAATGATTTTTGCAGTCAATTACAAATGAGGCCCTTCCTTGTAAAGAAGGCATTGGCTTGATGTAGCAAATATACATCATATAAAGTGAATTACATGGTGGGAATTAAAAGAATCCATATTGACATATTTGTTTGGTCAGCATGACCATAGTCGACGGGCGACGGAAGTCGAAAAGATCGAAGTCGGGTTATGGTGATCAAAAGGATCGTATTCGATGGGTGACGGAGGTCAAAAAGACAGTTGTCTACCAACGGAAGTTAGAAGGACCATAATATGGTGATAGAGGTAGGAAGGACCGTAGTCGGCAGACGACAATGGTCAGAAAGACAATTGCATGGTGATGGAGACGGAGGTCGGAAGGATCGTAGTATGGCGATGAACTTCGAAAGGACCATAGTCAGTAGGCGATTGTGGTCAGAAAGACCATTTTCTAGCGACGGAGGTCAGAAGAACCGTAGTGTGATGACGGAGTTAGGAAGGACCGTATTCGACAGAGGTAGGAAGAACCGTAGTCGGCGGGCAACAATGGTCAAAAAAACTGTTGACTGATGACGAGGTCGGAAGGATAATAGTCTGGCGACCAAGGTCGGAAGGATCGTAGTCGACGGGAGATAGTTATTAGAAAGACTGTTGTCTGGCGACGAAGGTCGGAAGGATCGTAGTCGAGCGAAGACAGTGGTCCAAAAGATCATTATTAGATGATGGGGGTCGAAAAGACCATAGTTGCTAGCGAAAGTGTTTAGAAATGTCATTGTCTAGCGATGGAGGTCAGTAGGACCATAATCGGCGGGCGACAGCGGTCAAAAACATCGTTGTTTGGTGACGAATGTCAGAAGAACTGTAGTCAGCGAGCAACAGTGATTAGAAAGACCGTTGTCTGGAGACAGAGCTTAAAAAGACCATAATCAATGGGCGACAGTTGTTAGAAAGACCATTGTCTGGTGATGGAGATATGAAGGATCGTAGTTGGCCGGTGACAATGGTCATAAAGATCATTATCTAGCGACTGAGGTCAGAACGACCATATTCAGCGGGCAACCGTGGTAAGAAATACCATTGTCTGGCGATGGAGGTCAGAATGACTATAGTTAGCGGGCGGTAGTTGTAAAAAAGATAGTTTTCTGGCAATGGAGGTCAGAAGAACTATAGTTTGGTGAAGGTGATCGAAAGAATCGCAATCGACAGGGGACTATTGTCGGGGGGGAGGAGTTCGATGATAATCAATGTTCGGGAGTAAGTTTAATGATAGTTGGTGACTGGGTGAAAGCTCAACGTTACCAGGCTGGGTATGAGTTTAATAATAATTGGAAGCCGAGCAAAAATTAAGCAATGGTTGGTGGCTAGGTGTAAATGCAGCAATAGTTGGCGGCCGAGCAGAAGTCCGACGTCATTCAGTGGCTGAGTGAAAGTCCGGCTACGATCGATGGTCTGACAATGGTCGAGGAGGACTTTGGCGGTAAGAAAACTCTAGTTTATCTCTCTTCCTTGCTTCCCCATCTTGCTTCTTCTTTCAATAACAAATGAGGGAACTATTTATAATTTTTTTAGAGTGACATTATCAGTAAATATGAAGGAGATCAAGGATGTGCTGGGAGTGTTTTAAATAGATGGCCGATATTAACTCCTTTGTTCATGGACAATTTATTAAGTATTTTGATTGCCTTAATGATGTCAACATTTGACAATTTTGGACTCGTTAAATTCTTCTTGTCAAGCCTCTCGATTCGATTATAAGCATGTCATGTTTGAAAACTTTTTGGTCATCCAATTTATGAATTGAACATTCAAAATACGCTTCAGATCTTTGATTTAAACCTATTTGGACTCAAATTGAAACGAATTTAGTATCGTTAGGTTTATATTTTCGAGACTTTCACTTTGACTATAAATTTGCAGAAATCAAAGTTCAGATAGTCCCAAAATTAAGTTGAAAGTTTCCAACTTAATTTTGACTCGAGATTTGTGCCTGGTCAAGATAAATTTTTTATGATTCAACACTAATATATTACTATCAAAATTTGTTTGAAATCCAAACTTTGGATTAATGTAAAATAAATAAAGATAATTTTTTATGTAAAATTTTAAAAAAATGATGGTAATTGACTGCTGAAAGCATGGCTTTAAAAACCAGACCGGACCGTCCGGTTCGACCGGTTTAACCGCGAACCGGCCGGCCGGCCGGTTCCGGTTTTCTTCAAAACCGGTATAGCATAGAACCGACTCGAAATCGTGTGAACTGGCGGTCGAACCGCCAAACCGTAAAACCGGTCCCGGTTTACAATAACCGGTCGATTCATCTGCGAAATATTTTGAAGCTTTCGCTAAAGATCGAACGGCTCAAGAAGCTTATACAAAACGGAAGAAATAAAAAACCCTACCATTCATTCGACGGTTCACATCTTCTTCCCTGATTGTCTTGCTCGTTCGCCAAGCCAAGAGATCCCTTCCAACCAGGAAGTCTTCGGCATCAGCTCGGCCTTATAACCTTCGCCTCCGGCTTCCTTCTCACAGGCATTTTCCTTCATCAACTCCGAGCTACACTCCTCCGCCTCCGATATCTGCTCTCTTCCTCTCACTTCTTCGGGACCGAGTTTCACTCACCGCAGAAGGTGAGTGCTTTTATCACAACCGATTTTCTCTTTCTGACTGTCGTTTTCATAGATTTTTAGGTTGTCTAGGACTTTCACTTCTTATCTAGTTCTGCTGTCAATCTCGCCTGCGTCAACTATTTCTCCGTTCTCCCAGATCTGATCTATCTTTTATTCAATCTCGCCTGTGTCAACTTTTTCTATAACTTTGCTCTATTTCGCTTAAAGATTTGGAGAACGGTTGATGTATTGTTCTTTGTCATTTGGAGTCGATTTAGGTTTTTTTTCAAGCTTTTTGTTTTTGTCGGACTACTACTATGCCAAGTTTTGTCTTTCCATTAGTTGAAATAAGCAGCTATAGAAAATTTTGATTCTGCACTTTGTTAAAATGTGTTAATAAATTAAATTTAGAATAGCTTAATAAGAAAACTTTTCATTATCTTTTTAAATTGCATTATTTTTATTTCTTGCTTGTTAATTCTTGCACATTTGGTTGTTTTCATGTTCTTGCAAATGGCTTTCTAGGAGATGACAAAGTTCATCTAAGAGCAAATTGGAAAATATGCTTAAGTTAAATGAGGTTTATTGACCTAATCAAGGGATTATTGATTAATTTGACATAAAAATGGAATGTAGAGTGGAGGTTTTAGAGAAAAATTTTTCATTCATTTTATAATTTTTAATAATATTACTATTTATTACGTCATTCGGTTTGACCCCTGTTTGACCGGTTGAACCGTGAACCTCTCCTTCTTCCGATTCGATTTTCAAAACCTTGGCCGAAAGTGACAATGGTGGTGATTGACAGCAATTAATGGCAACATTGATGGTGATAACAGTAGCTGATGACAAGACAACTTCTGATGCAATAATAATTAACTTAAAATTTAATAAATTTATAATTCATAAAAAATAAACTAAAGAATGAAAAAATAATAATTAAATTTTGTGCCGCATTTATTTCTCATTCTATCAAACAATAATATTTTTAAAATCGATGCATTTCTTAAAAAAAAAAATCATAGTAAGTGCCAGACATTTGGAGGTTCTCTGACATCCACGAATTGTCCAACTGTGACATAAAATTGCCTAAAGCAAATATAACTTAATTTTTCCAACTTTTAAGCCTCAAATGATGGAGTAATTATTACGTCCGGACAAAAAATTAAAAATACCAAATTTCAGGTGGTGGCACGTGATTATTAGTCTAAAACCCAATCTACCTTCTGAAAATTCCCTCGGGAACACACCCCAAAAAATGGAATTTTTCGTAGCCCACATCAAACACTAATATTTTTAAAAACCAATCCATTTAGAATAATTTACAACCGGTCCTAAAAAAAAAATTGATCATAATAAGTGCAGACATTTGGAGGTTCTCTGAACATCCTCGAATTGCCCAACTGTGATATGAAATTGCCTAAAGCAAATATAACTTAAAATTTCCAACTTACAAGTTTTTAGTACAAAAATTTTAACTAAAAAATTATTTTAAAAAATAATAAGAAAACCGTCCCAAACAAAATCATTATTTCTGACAAGCAAAGAACATCATTTACAAGATTAATCCTGAATCAAATACAACACCACAGGTTCTTACCATTAACATGAAGAAATTTCTCTTTGTACATTGGCCTAAACAATCAAATTTCCTGAGCATGTAAAATAGAAGACTGGATTAAGGATACCTCAACGGTAACAAATTTGTTTAAACTTAAGGGCTATAATGACACATCTGAGCACATTTTACAATGAATTCACTGCTTTAATTTGCTGCTTTGCCAAGTATTTTTCCCTTCTTTCTTTCTGGAAGATCGTTACCCAGCAGAGGAAGTTAGTTTCAAGCTTAACAAAAAGTGATTATGCAGAAATAATAATTTGATGTTTACTTACCCACTCATCTATTACAAGTCCTTCCCCAACAAGTCGTGGCCCTGTGTCCTCAGGGGGCTTCTTGCGGGCTTCTAGCGCTGCATCTGCCTCAGCAAGCTGGTTGTTTAGTTTGTCCAAATGCTTCAACAAATAAATCATGGAGAGCATAATTAATGACCAGAAAGATTTTTACAGCATTTCATGACAAATTTGCATGTTCTGTCCATCATGCTAGCAAGAACCATATACTACTTAGTAGACAGTTTATGAACTTTGTATTGCCCTTATCATCACTGCTATTACTTCCTAAATTCCCATGCTACCAGCGAAACTTTTTTGGGGCTTCCACCAGTCTCCCAAAATTTGAGAATGTCTTATTCAGCTTTTCAGATTTCTTGTAGGAGACACTCAGACACTTCAATCCTTACACCATTTTGAATAAAAGGGGAATACTAATAATTTTCATATTGCTAGAGGTGTGGAGTTTGGCTGAAGGGGGCAAAAACAAAGATTTCAAATCGGAGAAGGCAAATGTTACGCCGGCCCAGGAGGGGCCTGCTGGACCGGTCCAACCGGGACCGGTCCAAGTCTACTCGCGACGGAACCGCGCGCAGGAGGCGGAACCGAGCGGGCGAAGCACAGCCGACGGGGGCCAGGGAAGATTTTTGGGGAAATACTTGGAAATCCAAGTGTTTCCTATCAGCAAAAAATTACAAATTTAAGGGGGTCAATAACTGCAAAAGGATATAAACTTTCATATTATAAATATCTATACTAGTCACTCATCATATAAAGATTCATAACTGACTATATAGATGCATATATACATTCATTCAAATCTACATACATGCAAAAATATAGGAATATATGCATTGATACATAACAATATATACTTTTCAATTTTTTCTTGAGCTAGCATATGATTTGATTCAGGCTCAACTTAATTCAAGTTGGACCTAAGTCGGGCTTGATTAGTTATTGGGCTTGTTGACTTTGCTCTAAGCCAAAAAATTGATCTATTTTGCAAGCCAATTTTAATCCTCACCCCAAATTCACAACCTTATGCACAATTAAACACAATCATGTTTGCACCAACTGAAATATCAACAAAAATGATGTTATGTGTGGAATCTGATTGACTGATTCTATTGATCAATCGAATTGTTTTGTTGCCTCGGACCTCAAGTTTGTCATGCTTAATGGGGTGCGGGGGGTTTGCCTCCTGCTTGGGTTTGAGCGCCCCGACGTTGTGTACCTGAGCGCCCCAGCATTGTATACCCGAGCATCCTGACGCTGAACTAAAGAGAGCGGAGCACCACAGCTCTTTAGATACGACGCCACCGCGGATCAAGACAAAGGTTTAAGCGTCGCAGCGCTTGAAACTGGCGTCGCAGTGCTGCGAGACGGACTCGGCAATTTTTTTCTTGTTTTTCTGAAGGGTTGCATTCCTTGGGGTTTTTACTCGACTTTCTCTTGTATTTCTATAATGCAGCCATAGAGAATGGTGCATATGAGAAGAGAAGGCGATAGTGAGAGTGAAGAGAGATCTGCACTTATTTCTCCAATTTTCATAGTGTATTTCTTGGTGTGTTGTGGCTCCATGACTTTTTCGATATTTTGGGTATTTCCATGTTAAATCCTAGTGTCCTTTATTTTTTATAATGTTTTTACTTTCTTATTTGTTTTGTCATTGTGTTTTTTACTCCTCATCCCCAACAAATGATTGAGCAACACATTTTGTCCAACCTAAACAATTTCATTTGAAACCAACAAAAAAGACTACAAGGTTGTTTTGTTGGAAGTAAAGTGAATGTAAAGTAGTCCAAATGCAGTAGTTTTGAAAATATTGGTGTGTGATTGGATGAAAAATGAATGCAAAGTAACATAACGTCAATGTAGTGTAAACCATTTTAGTTTATTTTTGAGGTAACTTAAACTCGCCTAGTTTACACTGCAAGCAAGCTTGCTTGAACACTGCCACCACCCACCGCAGGTTGCCGCCACTGCCCCCACCACCCACCACCACCACCGCCACTCACCGCCAACCACCACCGCCACCCGCCACCCACCTCTAACCACCACTATTGCCGCAACGGCTGTCACCATCTTTTGACTTTACACTACATTCATTTTACTTCAAACCAAACAAAATAAAGCTTTCACATATATTGGCCTCATTTTTGTATGAGGTCAGGATTTTCTATCATCTCTTCCTACATTTAGGATTTCGTACCCTTGTTTTAACAAGCCAGTCCACTTGCACCATTCCATTTGAAGTCAAATTGGTTTCGACTCGATTCGATGAGATTCGATTTGGAGGAAATCCTACATGCGTCTTCTAAACTAGCATAGGAAATCTAAATGCTAGGAAGAGATGATAGAAAATCCAGATCTCATATGAATATGAGGTCAACAACCTGCATTTACTTTACACCCATACAAACAATTTCAAAGTATTTATTTTACACTGCATTTCTTTTTTAGCCAACCAAACAACCTCAACATATCAGGCTTTTTTTTGCCAAAAATTGGGTGCTGTTATGATGCTTCACTAAGCTTAATTCAATGAAAAAAAAAATAGAAGAAATAATCCACGCGTGCACAAAACACCCTCGAATACTACTTGCTCATGCTCCCCCACTACATGACACACCTCCCATTATCCATCCACTCTCACCATCCCTGACATGGCTGCACTTACCCCTGATCCATACAAACTCGCCGTAAATCATGTACACGTGCAATGATTGGAACCAACTGTTTCAGCCATTTTTAATGCTATGGTTGGATGGAAGATATCGTTGTCCATCATTCCTTAAGGTAATTCAAGGGAAAATTTGAAGAAATAATCCAAGTAGACACTTACTGGGTTTGGGCGATCCGCATAAAAGAGGACAACGCTTAGGATTTGCTCAATTAAAACTTCATCCTTCTGTTCTTCAAACTGTCAAATAGAAAAATAAAATACCAATGCTTAGAACGCATTTTTGCCAGAGCAAGAAGCTCAGATAAGCTTATAATTCAACACAAGTAATCAAAGAACCTTGCATGCAACAAATATTAAGCGTTAGTTCCATGCAAAGAGCTAGAATATACTATTAGGCAAGCAATGATACTACAGTTCATGTTGGGGAACTTTGGAGGCGATGCATCATATCCTCTAGCCACTCGCTAAAAACTTGTATCTAGTTCAGTGAGCACAGGAGGCATAAATATTTCCAGGAGCACAGAAGGCAAATTGTATCTAGTTACTCGAGCAACCATGCTAATGGTCTTGTGAAAGCAATATGTTAATAGGAGGATAAATAATATATAAATCTTTAGTTTAAGATACCTTGCATCGAAAGATAAAAAATTAACCCAACCAAATTAGGATCAACCAGTTTAACTAAGAGGAGCCATGTAATTCATACAAACAGGCAATAGTAATGAAAACTAATAAAGATTACAGAAACTAAGGACATGATTTAATGATGAGGTCAAGGTGAAACATGTTATTTTTCATTTTAGAATTTTTTCAAAATTCCTCTGGCATTATGTTGGCAATTTTTTATCTTTTTTGAACAGTGATGCATATTGATGTATCAAATATTTCTATCAGGAATTGAAAAATATTACTTCCATGAAAGAAAGCTAATATATGCCTTGCAATCTCTTGCGGGTTATGTAAAACTAAACAAAAAAAAGACTGATAGGTTTTACCCTCTTCTCTCGAATTTGTCCCAAGATAAATGGTTTTGAACAACAAAAACATTAAATTAGAAAGCCAGATCCAAAAATTTCATGGTTCAACAAATTAGAATACTGTTATACCATCTAATAAAACAATCAACAGTGTTTTAACCAATAAAGTTTAGCTGAAAGCAGCGCATGGACATGATTTAATGATGAGGTCAAGGTGAAACAGTTATTTTTCATTTTAGAATTTTTTCAAAATTCCTCTGGCATTATCTTGGCAATTTTTTATCTTTTTTGAACAGTGATGCATATTGATGTATCAAATATTTCTATCAGGAATTGAAAAATATTACTTCCCTGTAAGAAAGCTAATATATGCCTTGTAATCTCTTGCGGGTTATGTAAAACTAAACAAAAAAAAGACTGATAGGTTTTACCCTCTTCTCTCGAATTTTTCCCAAGATAAATTAACCCAACCAAATTAGGATCAACCAGTTTAACTAAGAGGAGCCATGCAATTCATACAAACAGGCAATAGTAATGAAAACTAATAAAGATTACAATAACTAAGGACATGATTTAATGATGAGGTCAAGGTGAAACAGTTATTTTTCATTTTAGAATTTTTTCAAAATTCCTCTGGCATTATCTTGGCAATTTTTTATCTTTTTTGAACAGTGATGCATATTGATGTATCAAATATTTCTATCAGGAATTGAAAAATACTACTTCCCTGTAAGAAAGCTAATATATGCCTTGCAATCTCTTGCGGGTTACGTAAAACTAAACAAAAAAAGACTGATAGGTTTTACCCTCTTCTCTCGAATTTTTCCCAAGATAAATGGTTTTGAACAAGAAAAACATAAAATTAGAAAGCCAGATCCAAAAATTTCATGGTTCAACTAATTAGAATACTGTTATACCATCTAATAAAACAATCAACAGTGTTTTAACCAATAAAGTTTAGCTGAAAGCAGCGCATTATGCAGATGAAAGTGTTAATACCACATTGTCATAAAACAAAATTAGATGATTTGTGAAAATGCTCACCAACGATACACAAACTGTAAGAAATAAGATAAAAACTCACCAGCTCAGGCACATATTCAATCCGTCCTTTCACCTTCAAACTCATGATCTTAAACTTGATATTGCTCTTTAACTGTAGCGGTTTCTCGTTATTGACAGGATGCTCCACAAACTTAAAAACTAGTATTCAAGATAGATGTGAGTGGGGACTTTTCAATAAAATAAACCTTTATTCGATTTCGAGGGAAAACTGCTTTACTGTTGTAAACAAGAATGAGAGAAGAGTTCTGCAGCGCAGAACATGGAACAAAAGTTTAAGGTTTCATTTGGGACGACTTTTTTACTGCTTCATTTTTAGTATAAAATTAAAATTTTTGTATTAGAAAGCTACTTCAAGAAGCAGTTCCCAAACGAAGCCTAAGTCTAAAAAAATAGAATAGAGAAAATAATCACCAGTAGCAACAATGCTTTCTCCCGGAGCCAGCGTACCACCAGGAGGGCGCATGAAACAGCTCTTTGGTGCAGTTGTTTGGAACTGTAAACATGCCATCAGTACACTTTTTACAATACATAATAGAGATAATGTTAGGGCTAATAATTTATTACTTTTACTACTACATATTTTTTTAACAATCTAATGTTGAACTAAATTCAATACTCTCACATGACATAACAAATAAGAAAGCAAAGCATAAATTTCCAATTAAAAGAAAGAAGGTTCAAAAAATGAAGGAGAATAGAATTTTTGGAAAGCTAATAATATTACACGTAAAGTTTTATTAATATGGCACAAAACTTAGATATGTAACACACCTTGAATACTACATGAGACTTGCTGGTATTCTTTATCCTGACAGCACTTCTGACCTGCCTTCCAGGTTCATCTTCACAGAAGAAAATAAAAATAAAAATAAATTAGACATTGGTGAATACAATAACTCCTGAGCCATGTACTAATGAAAAAAGAGTAATAAAGGAGAACTAGAAGCAAATATATATATATATATATATATAGAAGCAAAAAAGACAAAAAAAAACTATATTAAAAAAGAACATTTTATTCAACCATTTTTCACAAGATATAACCATGCACAATAAATTCAAAAAGAAAAAAAAGTGTAAATTAAATGAACTAAATCCACCAGTTGGTAATGTCACAGAACTTATGCCACTTGAAAGAATAGTTTCAGGTGCATTAGACCAATATAATCATTAAGGGAACAATTAAATAGCTAACAAAAAAATTAAGGAAAGAAGTTTAAAAACAAAAAAGCATTGCATAATCTGCTAGAATCAGTCATACTAGAAAAGAGAGCAGTACTAGTATTTTATTATATGGGTAAGCGTGCGAACCAAATTACAAAAAATGTAGGGAAATTGACTGCACAGAGCTACAGGAACAGAAAAAAAAACAATGTCAATCTCCAATGGAAATCCATAAATGACTCCACGTAACTATGCTATATGGAAGTAGAAATAGTCAAAATATTTGTTCTGCCACACAATACATGAGAGCTTTAAGAGTGAAAGTTCCATATTAAAATGAAGTAAATAGACGAACTTAACAAAAGATAGCAACCTCAACCAACCATCAAGACATCATCCTCTTGTAAAAGATAAGGAAGAATGAACAACTGAATAAAATGCTTAAATGGTGGCCAGTCGACCTATGCATTTAACGCTTAAGAGTTTGCATATCAAGATTAACTTTATATTCTTATAATTCTCCACGCACAGGGCATTTGACTGGCTTTGTCAATTTGCCTTTTGCAAGTATCATCTGAGTACAACAAGCTTTTCCTTGAAAAAATACAACATTAGTCCATCACATAATATGTTCATCATTGTTAACGAACTATAAGGGACCAGCTTTATAAGCTTTATGAAAAGTCATTCTTCATTTAATCTAAAGGTGTAAACGAGTTAAGCCGAGCTCTAGTCATCTCTAGCTTGAGCTTGAGCTTGATTAATTAATCAAGTTCAAACTCGAGCTCAAGTTTAACTCTATGAGTTTGAACCGGCTCACAAGCTAGCTCATTTATAACGAAAGAGTAAAAATAATTATGATTCAAGCAATTTTTATAAAATTATAAAAAAAAAAAGAGAAAATAGAAGATAAATAATTAAAAATCACTTCATATAAGAAAATGAGATAAATAATTTATAATCATTTTAAAATCTTACATTTGAACTTCTAAATTCTAATATATTTTTAGTGTATTTTATACTAATATTTTTAAATGAGCTAGCTGACGAGCTAACGAGTCGAGTCGAGAAAGAATCAAGCTTGACTCATTAGATCATCGAGCACGGCTCACGAGTCATTTATTAAGCCGAGCCCAAGCTGGCCTATGATTCAGCTTGACTAACTTATTATTGGGGAAGTAAACCATGAAGAGAACACAAACAAGAAAGAGAAAATACAATGGAAAGAAAGAACACCAAAATTTAACGTGGAAAACCTAAAAACCATGAAAAAATCATTGAGCCACACCACATCAAGAAATTCACTATGAAAATTTAGGAGAAAAAATACAGATCTCTCGTCTCTCTTGCTCCCTCTTTTTCTCTATTCTCACTTGCGTCATTCTCGACAAACAAACAAAGAAAAAATATACTAAAACCAAGGAATGCAACCCTTAATGAAAAACACGAAAGAAAACTATCAACCCGCCTCGTAGCGCAGCGACACTAGCTTTGGAGTGTCGCGCCGCTCAACTATGTCTCCTATTTACCTGAGAACGTCGCATCGCTCCCTAGTAGCGCCGAAATGCTGGGTTTTAGCGTCTCAACGCTCTACTCTTTGTCTGTCTCCAAGCAAACTATACAGCGCTGTAGTGCTCAGATACATAGTGCAGCAACGTTGTACAGTTGTACAAAAAAAATTCTGTGCAAAGCACCAAAAACCAAGCAGGTTAAGGACCCCCTGCAACCCCCCCCCCCTCCTCAACAAACTCGACAGATTGGATTGAGCAGTACAACTCGATTGATCAATACAATCAGATTCCACACATAACTAACACTTAAACCCCTAATTCATTCCCACTAAGTGTTGCATGAGGTATTAAACCTAATTTATACAAATCTTCTTTAACGACTACTATATATGTTATATTTTGTTCATAAATGGTAAACAAATAAATGTGAGATACAACATTTATACATGAAGCATTAGCTTGGATACAAAGGTAAGCATGAAACATCAAGCAACATAAACACTTGACAAATATCAAATTTGCTTTTTACCAAAACTAAATTCATGTACTTTATTATGCCCTTAATCAATCCACATGTATTTTCTAACTTGTGTAAATCTCCAAAACAACTCAATTAGGACCCGAACATATCTCAGAGTCACAACCAAAGCCATTAGACAAAACAATTGATTCTATAAAAGAGAGGACCTTCTATGCAAATTTCCTTCACATTTTACCTTAAACTTCTCAATGTTGTAAGATAACAACAGCCCTAGCTGCCACGACTACCCTCCTACCTTTCCCAACAAAGCCTCTATGTCTAATAGATACTTATGCATGCATGATGGTGCTTATAATCTATATATAAATATCTATATATGGATATATTAATGAACATGCATACATACATAATATGCAATCAAAGCTATAAACAAATAAATGATGAAACTTATAAAATAAAAAAAAGAATCGTACATCATGATAACATGTATATTTAATTATTAAAATATTACATGTTTATACATTATAATAATAATTTAAATTTTTATAGCATATAGTGAATCTTATATTCATTATTGTAATACACAGTAAATATTCTGCACATATAGAATATTCATAGCACATTATAATCAAATGAATCATATAGTATACATTTAAATATATTATGCATACTATTAAACTATCAAATTACACATTAGTGGTTAGGACAACATATGTACTTTTATGCATATCATGATAAATTAGGTAAAAGTTTATATTATTTGTAACTACATATGGATTGGCACTATAATTTCGCATAAACTTGACAGCTTCACATTTTCTTATAAAAATATGAATTTACAGCATATGAGCTCGAAATCACTTCCTAAAGTGACTTTCACTTTGTGATCCACTTCCGTCGCATCTCACTTCGCACTCTTTACATGCAACCACAAGCCATTAGAGTAGTGGTCAAAAACCACAAAGCTTCCAAACTGAAGCCCTAACAAGTACCCACTTCAATGAGCAATGTTATTTGCGCAAAAATTTAATCAATAAAATGATATACCGACACATGCAATTAAAAAAAAATAATACTTCTCCCAAAAAAAACACAGGCAATTAAAAAATATAACCCTAAAAGGGCCATTTCTCATTGAAAACATTCGTCCAATTCAACAAAATACATGATCGACGGACTAATTAGATAACTCGAAGTCCTACAGAAAACAAAGCAGAAATTTTCCCCCTTTACTGCAAAACCAAAAGATGATTTAAAAAGCAATCAAGATAAATAACCTAAAAGAGGTGAAACCCACATGGGAAATAGAGCTTGGACGAAGGATCGAGCTGGAGGCAGCGTCTCGCCCGAAAAAGCGTCCGCGCGAGGGCTGTAACCCTATCACAACCCAATTGCAAATGCTTATCCTGCGTATTCGCCGTCTCCACCGACAAGCACGTGGACGAACACATCCTGCCGGATTTCCAGAACGCCATCAAGCTAAAAGCACCAAACTTTGGCAGTTACAGCTCCGGCGGTTTTAGCATCCCACCTCTCTTCACTCCAAAGACAGAGATGATCCGAACGGATCTCTCCGTTCGGTCACCTGATGCAATAATTTGCCCTCTCTCAGTCGGTGAGTCGGTGAGCTGGGAAAGACGGAAAGTAACGGAAAGAAGCATGCAAGGTAGGAAGAGGACAGCTCGGATCTTAAAAGGATCGATTTATTTCAATTTGAAAGATGGGGTTCAGGTCCGACTCTGTAGGATGTAGTCTTGAATGCTTTTGTTCTTAAATTTTCGTGCTTTGGGGAGTTCGATCGGGTTAAGTCAAGCTAGAAATGGTGGTAATCTCACCGAGCCTAGTTTATTAGGGTAAAATTGAAAAACTCAATTTTCACTTCAATTTACAATAAAATTTCAAAATGCATTAACTCGTCTTCAACATAATTTTATTTTCTAACATTAAAAAAATATATATTCTATATATATTCTTTCTCATACTTTATTTAACCTAATTTTTTAATTAAAAAAATAGCGGGTGTGAATGTCATTTTTTTTAGTGATCTTCTGGAGCAAAAGAAATAGATCAACTGTGATAGCTCATAATGGAGGGTTTATTTGAAATAATTTTTTTTCACTAAACATCTTATGATTTTTTTAGAATTAGTCTTTCATCTGGGATAACTTTTTAACTTTTTCTAAAATATTTTTTTATTATAAATTTTTTAAAATAAAAAATATAATATAAAATGAATATATAATATATGAAATATTTGAATTTATTTAGATGTATACAAAATGTAAATTATTAGTAATTTTTTATTTGATTTGAAGTAAAATAAATATAATATAAAATAAAATGATGACGGTGACAACCAGTATTTGGTGCTAGATAATAACCATTACCATCAACAGATCTGGTGATCATAGGCTAGCCGAGGTCGCTTTTGCACGGAATTTGATGCAACGGAAATTCCCCAAAAAAAATCTTTAAATAATGGGAGGAAGGCGCCAAACTACAGACAACGCATCACTTGCGGTAAATATAAATAAATCCTAACCGTATGTTTTGATAATAATGGTGCGCTTTCAGCCAACTCAAGCTATCAATTTTAAATAATTACTTATTAAATTTAAATTTAGTTATAGATTCTTCTATTATATAGGCTTCAATTCTTCTTCTATTGTTGAAGCTTATCTACAATAATAGGAGAACTGAAGAAGAATATATAACTAAATTTTAATTCTTAATTTTTTTTTTAACTGCAAAAAAATAGTTGTAAATTTTTTTTTTAAATAGGATTCATTTATGATAATTTTTTATTGCTTTTTACGGTAGTTTTTTTGCATAATTTTTTTTTAAAAACAGAAAAAAATAGTGATAAAAAACTGAATTCTTGCTCCATGAAAATTTTTTGATCCTCTTATTCATGAACAATTATTACGTCCTCCGACCGGATGTAGAACGTCCGGTCGGAGGCCAAATCGCGCCAAAAAACAAGAAATACCGAGCAAATACCAAACAATAACGAGGAATATCATCACGTGAAGACCCAATACCAAGTTATACCGAGCTATACCGAGTTATACAAAAGTTGTACCGAGTTTTTCCTAGAAAAAACTCGGTACAAGTCGGTATTGCTTGGTATAACTCGGTATTGGTCTTCACAGAGCGGTATTCCTCATTATTATTAAATAATACCTAGCAATACCGAGTTTTTTGGCGGGATTTTGCCTCCGACCGGACGTTCCTCTACGTCCTTACACCGGACCTAATAAAAGTTCCTTATTCATGGGTGATGAGTACATTTGAAACAGATTAGTTGTTGGATCAAATTAGATGAATTGAGCCAATCCATCAAAAGTTTGAAAAAATTGACATATTTGAAATGAAATCTTAAATTATTATCATTCATATCACTCAAAGCATCTTTTTTTCTAACTTTAGGGCATGTTTGAGACAACTTTATGATTGCTTTGATTTTTTATGATTGTAAGTATATTTTTGTTTGTTTACTATTTTATTGTTGCTTCTTCGTTATTTTTTAAAAAAAAATTAGTGTGAAGCTATTTTCTTACGACCAAAATTACGAATATGTAGAAGTTGTAAAATAACTTTTCAAAAAAATAAATTTATTTATAATTTTCACAACTTTTGAAAAATATTTTTTTTCCTACAATAGCTTCAAAATCATCTTTATAAAAAATCATAGCCGCCGAAAGCAACCCATGAACATGTGGCTTTAATAAGTTATAAAATTTCTATACCAATAATAATTGCAAGAATATTATGTGACTATTTATCCTCTAATTCAGGAATGCTTTAGGCTTCATTTGGGATGGCTTCTTTACTGCTTCTTAAAATAATTTTTTACTACAAAAAAACTGCTTTAAAAAATAATTAAAAAAGTCGTCTCAAACAAACCTTTAGGCTCCGTTTGGGACGACTTTCTTGTTGCTTCTTAAAGCAGTTTTTTATTACAAAAATAAAAAAATTTATACTAAAAGGATGCTTTAAGAAGCAACAAGAAAGTCGTCCCAAACAAAGTCTTAGGCTTCGTTTGGGACTACTTTCTTACTGCTTCTTAAAGAAGCTTTCTAGTAAAAAATTTATACCAAAAAGACGATTTAAAAAGCAATAAGAAAACCGTCCCAAACGAAACCTTAGTTTGCTTCTAAATCTTTTTAGAGAGATGAAAATGAAATTTAGAAACTTTCTTCTATCTAAAGATAATGTATTATAACGTCCAATGGGGCAATCATTTGAAAGATGGTTGTTTTCTTTATGTATTTAATTGTTAAGATACATTATAAAAGTTATTGAACTTCTATAAAATATAGGAAAAGTATTATTTATATGTGTCCAGTTAGGCTGGGCTTGCTTTGTTTTGGCTTTTGATACTGCTAATTTGAGTAAAAGGAAAGGAAAAAAATATTTTTGTTTTTCATTTTTTATCATTTTTTTAACTTATTTCTTTGTAGAATTATTATGAGAAAAATAAAGTCTTTAAAGCAGTTTTCTAGTACAAAATTTTATACCAAAAAATTAATTTATGAAGCAATAAAAAAACCGTCTCAAACGAAGCCTTAGTTCGCTTCTAAAGCTTTTTAGAGAGATGAAAATGAAATTTAGAAACTTTCTTCTATCTAAAGATAATATATTATAACGTCCAATGGGGCAATCATTTGAAAGATGGTTGTTTTCTTTATGTATTTAATTGTTAAGATACATTATAAAAGTTATTGAACTTCTATAAAATATAGGAAAAGTATTATTTATATGTGTCCAGTTAGGCTGGGCTTGCTTTGTTTTGGCTTTTGATACTGCTAATTTGAGTAAAAGGAAAGGAAAAAAATATTTTTGTTTTTCATTTTTTATCATTTTTTTAACTTATTTCTTTGTAGAATTATTATGAGAAAAATAAAGTCTTTAAAAAATGGATATAACTACTATAAATATATTAAAAAAGGCACTAATTTAGCATTTGCATATGAGTTTGAGTCAAGCCGAATTGAGCTTGGCTTGATAAATAGCTCATGAGTTGAGCTCGATGAGCTAACTAGTCAATTTTGAGCCAGCATTGACTCGACTTGTTAGCTTACGAGTTAAAATGTTTAAAAAAAATTTAATATAAAATGCAATCAAAATATTTTAGTATTCGGAATTTAAGTATACGATCTATATTAATATTATAAAAATCAGTTGTGTTTCTTCTCAAATAAAATCTTAGCATTTCATTTTAATTATTCAAATATTTAATATTAATATTCATTTAAGTTCAATATTTTTATTAAATGTACTCAAACTCATGTGATAAAAAAAAATGATGTCTTCAGCAAATAAAAAATTATGATCTAATGCACTATCTAACATCATAAAAATAAGATAATTATTTAATTTCTCTTTTAATTTTATTTATTACAAATAATAAATTTAAATTTAAATTTCACTTAAATCTAAATTTTGATTATATAAATATCTAAAGTAATACAACATAATCATGTCGAGTAAGAAATTTCTCTATTAGTACAAATAACATTCAATTAAAATTTTGTGTGCAATATCCTAGAAAAAATGATTTAATTACACAATAATTAAATAATTATATGCTTAAACTTTTATTCTCTATAAACTTCGTGCTTAATTATTTTTCAATTATGATAAATTTGACCTTATATTTTACTAAAGTTTTCATCCATCTACAACTATTGTTATTGCTATTTTATTAAAACTTTAAACCATTTGTTTTTAGATTGAGGATATAATTGTTATTAGAATTATTATAATGATAAATTTATTTATTTGATCTCTTTATAAAAAAAGCTTTACATAATTAAATAATATTTAATTCTTTTATAATATTATTTGAATTTAAATTTTTATTAATGTGCATTTAGTTATGATGCAAAATTTTGGCCATTAAAAGAGAAACATAATATATTAAGTTAAGTGTTGCAGAGATGAGGATACTCAGGTGGATGAGTAGTTTTACTCTTAGAGACGAGATATAAAATAAGCATATACATGAAAAGGTTGGAGTAGCTCCAGTGGTAGATAAGAGTAGAGAGATACGCCTTAGATGATTTGGTCACATAAAGTGGCGACCTTCTGATGATCCGATTAGGAAAGTAGATGTATTAGATTTGAGGAAAGTAGATGTATTAGATTTGACTTATATTGAAAAAGATAGAGGTAGACCTAAAAAGACTTGGTTAGAAAATATTAAAAATGACTTTTATTTATTATATTTAAATGAGAATTTAATTCTTAACAGTATACAATAGAGAAAAAAGATTCATATAGCTGACTCTACAGTGAGATAAATGTTTAATGTTTGATGTTGTTTTTGTTGTATTAATATGCATTTAATGCACATGTAATTATACTAGTTATTAAAAATATTTAAAATTTATATTTCACTTTCTCATTTTAAATAATTCATTATTATTTTTCTTCTAATTTTTCATTCATCTTATCATTTTATTATAATAATTGCTTGAATCATAATCATTTTCTCTCTTTCATAATAAACTGGCTCGTGAGTGGACTTGAACTCATAGAATTAAGCCCCGGCCACTACATTTTCTCTCTTTCATAATAAACTGGCTCGTGAGTGGACTTGAACTCATAGAATTAAGCCGGCTTGAGCTCGAACTTGATTAATTAATCAAGCTCAGGCTTAAGCCAGGAACGACGACTCAAGCTCAGCTCGACTCATCTTTAGAAGGCGAGCTTTGCACATTTACACATTAAAAAACTCTACTTGTATAAAAACAAGTACGTATTGAAGAAACATAAGAGAAGCTTACAATGACTAGTTAAATATGGAGGACAGGCTCATCCCACTGAAGCACAGCAGACTCCAGTTTCTGCTCTCTTTTAAGCTTGTCTTTGAGAAACCAATCACAAATCCTACCAACATTAAGCTCCTCGATCGGAAGCCCTTCTTCTTCTGCTACGACCCTTAGGAGATTCAATGATGATATCTGCAACATTTCACAGAACGGATCAGTATATCAAAGAAGAGCAATGTTGTCGAGAAAAAAACAAAAAAGAAATATGTCTGGTTAAGATGTCTGAGTGATCAAAGTTATTTTCAACATATGAGTATTAGTGGGTTTGAGCTTAGAGGTTTGAAAAATCCAGGAGCTCCACTCGTGCACCATAATCATAACAGAGATTAGGCTTGCAGTATTTAAAGGCGAACATAGCCAGACTTTCAAAGTTTTCAGAAGCTGAAGAAAAATATGCGGATGGATTTTTAGTATTTGGGAGTTGAGGTCTACTTGCAGAGGATATGAATCTATGGATAAAGTGACGAGTGGTCCACTGAGATGTACTTTCAGCCCTTTGATCTAGATCAGACGGCAACAGGATCGAGCTTATGAAAGAATGTGTTTGTAGTTTTGGTTTATATATATATATATATATATATCATACATTACCAAACTATGCTCCTTGATGCATCTCGAAAAATATCTTGGTTGGGTATGAATCTTGAGGAAAAATTAAGTTAGAAACTTCCAAATTGAAATTGGGACCATGCGAACTCTAATATCAGCAAACTTATAGTTAAATTGAACGTCTCGAAAATACGAACCAAACGACACTAAATTCAACCCAATCCGAGCCCAAATAGATCCAAATCAAGGGTCTAATTAAAGCGTTGTTGAAAGGCTCAAACCACAATTTAGATTATCAAACGGTTTTCAAACATAACGTACAAATTTGAGGAAAGTACAATGGTCTGACTCGTCCTTGAAGACGACCAGATTACAAATATCAACTGAGAGTTTCACAAAAGTCCAATATCACTCCACTGTCAGATGGTGGTCCGGCGGCACTCTGGTGTCAGGTGATGGATCAACAGTGGCACTTCAGTGTCCGGGGGTACTTCAACTTCAGATGGAACTTCGGCGTCCATTGAGGGGTCCGGTGGTGGCGCGGTAGCACTCCGGCATCCCTTGGTGGTCTGACGGTGGTGCGGTAGAACTACTGCGATGATGCGGCAGTACTCCAGCGGTGGTGCGGCAGCATTCCGGCTTCCCTTGGTAGTCCGGCGGTGGTGAGGCAGCACTCCGGCGTCCCTTGGTGGTCCGGCGGTGGTGTGACAGACCTACGGCGGTGGTGCGACAGCACTCCCATGGTGGTCGAGGAGGAGCTAGGTGGCTGGAGCTTTCTTCCTTGTTCTCTCTGGCTTCTTCCCCCCTTTTCATGAGGAATGAGGGGTCTATTTATAGATTTTCTGGAGTGGCATAGCTTGTAAATAGGTGTGAGATCAAGGGCAAATAGGGAGCGGCTGAATGGATGGCCGATATTGAATCCCACGATCGTGCACCGTTCGTTAGGACATTTGAAGGCCTTAGTGATGTCAAAATTCAGTGATCTTAGGCTCGTTGCATTCGTCTCGTCGAGCCGTTCGATTCGAGTACAAGCTCGTTAAAATCGGAGACCATTTGGTAACTCAATTTGTGATTCGAACCTTCCAACAGCGCTTCGGGTTCTTGATTTGGATCCATTTGGGCTCGGATTGGGTTGAATTTGGTGTCGTTGGATCCGTATTTCCAAGACTCTCAGTTTGACTGTAAGCTCGCTGAAATTGGTGTTCGAGTGCTTCCAAATTTAATTTTTGAAAATTTCCAACTCTATTTTTCCTCAAGATTCGTGCTGGATTAAGCCTATTTTTTGGTAACGTATCAAGCATAAAGATCTGAAATTGTTAATCTAAACGATCACTCAGCTGCTTGTTTTCTTCTAGAAGATGTCTTTACTTGTTTATCAGTTTGTTGATAAACTCAGTTAAGAGTTTATTTGATTTGAATATTTTCGTTCCAAGTAAAACCAGACTTCCGAGATACCACCAAGTGACGCCATATTTTCAACTATGTGCTCTCTATGTGTGAGCTTGATATTCGTTCAACGCTAAGACGTAAAGTTCTAACTCTATCGTCACGTGTATTCTAGCCCGTAACACTCCTGAAATATAAAATAATAATAAAAAAAGATATATAGGGCTTGTTTATGCCCAATTTGGAGGATTATGAGATTTTTTTTTAATGATGAATAATATGGTCATTGGAAAGGGCATGTTGGAATATAAATCGAGTTGAAATAAAACATTATTTAAAATGACTATTTAGAAATAATATTAAAAATATATAATATATTTTATAATCCCTATTTTTTGTATATATAATTAAAAATTAGTGTCAAGTCAATTCAGATTTAAATCATCTTTACTCAAATTGATTTTGATTTCAGACTTAAATTAATTCTTCTAAGGCCTTGTTTAGGACGAAATTTTTATTATTTTTTAAAACAAAATTTTAATATAAAAATAAAAATTTTAAAAAGCAATAAAAACTCCATCTCAAACGAAGCCTAAGACTTTGAGTTGAACCAAATTAGAGATAAGCAGTTTGATTTCTCATACTTGTTAGCCAGCTTTGTGAAAGCATCCACAATTTTTCCAAAAAAAAAAAAACCTACATGGTTTAATACTCAAATTGAGGCTTCATTGAGACAATTTTACCACTGTTTTTTATGCTTTTAAAAAAAATTATATTAAAAGATTACTTTAAAAAATAATAAAAACCTGAGTTTAAATGAAACCAAAGAAATTAGGTCATTATTATTTTTTACATCCAGACATTAATAAGATTGTAAGACATTGTTTTAATTTTTTTTGTTTACAAAACAAAGTTTTTTTTTTAACAGCAAAAACAATGATCCAATAAACCGAAAAAAATTAAAAAAAAAATCTTGCGAGCCTTCTCTAGATATTTTAAATTTTGTGATGAAATTCCTACTTTATTTTAATGATTAATGATTATTGCACCCACTGCTAAACCCATGCTACAAAACATTTATAATTAAACATATTGTTAGTACCAAAATTTGATGTTAAGATAAACCCAAATTTTTTAATGCTTTCTAAATTATTTTTTTAATACAAAACTTTTTTATACCAAAATATTATTTTAAAAAATAGTAAAATAAAAACTATATTAAACAAAGCCTAAAATTAATGCTATAAAAATCATTGTAGAAAGCCCAACACATCCCCAGCTCTATAAAGAACAAGTAGCCATTGTTGCAGCCACCAACATTTTTCTCCTCGCCGACCAAGGAGCTATTATTCTGTGTGGACCCTGGACAATTCTCCCGTCCAGTTACGTGCTCGGTACTGAGCGCGGTACATTTTTGGGACGACATGGCGCATTTTTATTGATCTCCGGACGAATCCAAACGCCGCACATAATAATTTTTTCCGACCAAGAGGGCGGGGGGTGGGTGATGCAGAATAAAGTAGCACACAAGAGAGGGCAGCAGGTTTTGATTTCAGCAATTTGGGTGAATATGAATGCGAGGTTTCAATATTAACTTATTAGTTACTATAAACCAATATAGTAAAAATTTTAGCCCTAAGATCATCAAGCAAAGGTGCTTAACAGTGTCAGTAAAGATTTTAGCCCTCATTAGAGCCTTCACAAGTCTTTGTTAGATTAATGCACCCTGCATATTAGTCATACAAAGCTTAAAATTCGACCATTATTGTCCCTTTTGGACATAAATTATCAAGTTTGTGACAAAATTAACAGTCCGGTTGCAGTAGATGGAAGGATTAAGCAGAGAACAAGCTACAGAAAGAATTACAATGAATCGGGTAAAAAAATACAAGTAGACAACCAGCAGGAGAAATCTGCTTTCAACGATGAAACATCTCCCAATGGAACCTTCGCGGTTACAGAAATTTTTTGCGGCAGATAGAACAATAATGGCAAACAGCAAATATATCTGAAAGATGAGAGACTGACCTCCTTTCTTCTAACTGAAATGAGCTATGTCAACGTCCTCTGGAATTCTGAATGTGTCGGCAGCCCCAAACTTTCTCCTTTCCTCCCCTGACTCATCATCAGATTCCTCTGCGCTCGCCTCATCATCATCATGATGACCACTCGCAGATGGCGGCGTCGAAGGGTCATGGATGCTCTTAGATATGCAGCTTGGGGTGGCAAGCATGTTTACTTGGCCAAGGTGCGAAATTTCCACCACCACGGTGTCGTCGTTCTCCGGCAGAGGCTGCTTCCAGGGCTCACCATCTATCCTCATGTATGTGTGATCTGCAGCGCCTTTATGAAACTCGAACCGGATCCGATGAGCCTGAATTAATGCAGGAAACTCACTTTTATTATTGTTTCTTAAAGTAGTTTTTTAATAAAAAATTAATTTTTTTATACGAGAAAGCTGCTTTAAGAAGTAGTAAGAAAGATTGTCCCAAATAATGCCGTAGATGGAATAATGGTTGTCAGGTAAAACTAGGAAGGGATCCTTACCTGGGCAAGGCGAGTACCATGACCATTGGGAGCTAGCAGAACAAGACCATGCCAAGCATCTCGAAAGCCAACCACCTCAAGGAGGCCATCATCAACATATGGGGGTGTAAGATCTCTCTGGAAAAAGGTGGTGAATTATGTCTGGATGCAGCATTTTGTGTGAAAGAAAAGGAAGGAGAAAAGCAGAAAATAATCTCACATTTCTTGCTTTGATATGATGAGGAGTCCCCCAAGGATTTAGGCCACCAGAGAAGCTGGGAAGGTTCAGGCAAACAATAGACCTAATGCTGTTGAATACGAAAGATGATTTTAGTAACCTAAATATCAAGACAATGACATGCTTTAAGGTAACAAAGCTAATAGGTGTAGAAGGGTTAATTTGAAGAAGACAAGAAAAATGTGCACCAAAGATTGTTCAGAAATTTCATCTTTGCAAGAATATATATAAAGATTCCCAAACCTGTCTGGGAAATAAGAAATCATTCGCTTTTAAATCTTTGACAAAACATAGAACCAATCAAGAACCATGGGACCTGCAAATCACAAGATATGCTCATCCCAACCTAAGCATCATCTTTGATAACACTTGTAGGTGAATATGGATCAAAAGGAGAACAAGGTCGAGTCTAAAACAATAATGGTCAAATTCATTTTCAACAAAAAGTTTAACCAAGGAGTAAAAGCTAACAACTTGTTGTATATATACCAACATATTATTCCTTATTAGATGTGGGGGAAAACCAATAATCTCACATGCCGAGACAAAAGTGAGTTTTTATTTCTATAGAAATCACTTTCATAAAGGTGAAAACTAAATTTCAATCATTAAGGGCAAGATAGTCACCTTAAGTTTGCTTTTAGCAATACTAATATTAATAAATTCACAAAGGTTTATAAGAGAATGGGTTATAGCATTTTATTTTTACTCATAACAATAATAAAATAAGATAAAATTAATGAAAGGATGAAAATGAAACTCACTACATCCAAAACATATAAAAAAAATAAAGCAATATGAGTATTCACGCAAAAACATTAATCACTGAACACACTTTTAATAAAACTTATTTCTTGAAATCAACTCCAACAACTTTCAAATAGCTGTGTTGACTTCAGTAATTTCAGTGTCGCAAAAAATGCATTATGCATAGAAGAATTACCAATGTTTGCAAGAATAAATGAACAAATAAATGAGTAAAAGTGGTCAAAGATACATTTACAAATGAAGCCAGACATGCAGTATGGATATACCTGCGAGGGATGTGAAGCTCTTCCCACAGGCCATGCCTCTTCAAGATTTTGACCTTAGCAAGCTGAGCAATATTCCTGCATTAAAATTCATGCATATATTCTTAGCAACCAAGGGTGCCAAAAGTTTGATCAAGCCTTAAATATCACAGCTATTTTCTTCAAAAGTTCATAATCAACAAAAAAGATGTTTTAGCATCAGTTTTATAAGAATATGTATCAGGCCATTAATTCCTTTTAAATGGAAGACGTTCATGATAAGGTTGATAACACTTCAGCGACTAAATGGCGAAAAATAAAAGCAGTTTTCAGCTTTCACCCTTTTAGAGGGTAAGCGCAAGAGTAGCAGAATGAAAACTATCCTATAGGCTCTAAGCTCAACAAAATCACTAGACATCCATTGAGTTAAGGCTCATTTTTGTTCATTGTTCCCCAACGAGTAGAGATTCGTAAGGAAATCCAACTATACTATTTCTCTATCAAATGCAACAAAGGAACACAAGTCTGTCAAGATTAATTTTCCCGCCATTCAAACACACTAATAAAATGATCAAGTAAATGCACAACAAAGCATGCCTCTAGTAGAACAATTCATCTCACTATACATTAAAGATAAAAAAAATTTCAATACTTCCAGGACAATCAACCAGCAGACATACCCGACTGAACCTAAAAAGTGAACTCTAACACATCAAACAAGAAAATCTCATAATTACCTTACATTTGTACTCATGTTACAGGAAGGATAAGATTTCATTGATCGTAATGAAGCATTTGTCGGTGGAACACCCGCCAGCCGATGAAAAAACTCAACAACTAAACCAATATCTCTATTTGAATCCCACAAGAAGATAGTAGGGTTGTGAAGATAAATTGGGCAAGATATCAGGAGAGTAAAGTTGGCAAGAAGAAACACAAGGAAATAAGAAAATCCTCTTCTCTTCTTCCCGCCCTTGCTAAGAGCTCCTTAAAGTGTAGCTAAGGCATGCCACCAATATACATGAAACAAAATAATAATAATAATAACTGTTAGAATTCATAGAATTTGAGAAGGGTAAAAATACCTTCTACTTATTATACAAAATTATCCCTATTTATAGATCTATACAAGATGTCTTAATAAAGAAATAAATAACTTCTAATTGATACATAATTGCCTCAATATAATCCTTCCTAATTCAGCTACCCAAATATAGAAGGATATTGGCGTGATCCAGGTGAGCCTCCCATAGATTCTCATCCTGACCGTGGGATCAAATGCCAAGGGATGACTGAGATTTTGACACTCCCCCTCAAGCTGGAGACCAGCTTGCAATTACTCGCTTCAAAGGTAGAGCTGCATTGGTTATGGATAGAATATCAACCGCCCGAGAAAGTCGGCAATGAAGGCCGATGATGGAAAACAATCCTCAAAATTCTGACAATTAAGGCCGATTGTGGGAACTTGTATTCCTCAGGTTTCCAACAATGAAGGTTGTATTTATAGTAGCAATAAAAGTTGATTTGATCAACCATAAAGGTTGATTTGCTTGTATCAGCAATAAAGACTGATTTGCTTGTATCAGCAATAAAGGCTGATTTGATCAACAATAAAGGCTGATTTGATTATATCAGCAATAAAGGCTGATATCAGGTCTTAATCACGTCTCAAATCTGATTTAAGACTTCTTGTTGTTGTCGGCCCATCTAAGATAATCGAGAGGGGCGTCTATGTGGATCTGAGCGGAATAGGATATTCGGAAGGAGCTTCCGATCAAATCGAGCGCTGTGCGGCTTCGTCGGTGCGGCTTTGCTTCATGCGAAGGTAGGGATGCCACGGCTGCAACTTCTCTCACAGTCGAGGCAATCAAAACCCTCGATGCGGACGGCGGCGGGCTTGAGATCCTATCAGACATAGCGGATGTGGATCCGGATCCAATCAACGTTGGAACAAGGGGAACCAGAGCGGCCGAAAAGGATGTTCGACGGGATCGTTAGTGGATTTCGTATCCGAAGTCTTCGGTCGGCATGCCCTTCCCGTCGGATTAGAAGTTTGGATTGGGGTCACTGGTCGCCTCTTCAGCTCGTCTCGGCCAGCGGCTTCGGCTTCCGTCAAGGCCTCCGTCGGTTCGCCAAGCTTCGTCCGATGCGAGTTTCTTGTTGGTAGCGTCGGCAAGGCTCCGCCTCTCCTTTTCTCCTTCTTTTCTTCCTCCGTTCCGGGTTCTGTCGTTCGGCTTCTTCCGCGAGTCTTCTCGCATCTGGTGGCGTCGGACAAAAGTCCTTTCTTCGCCTCTTACACGAGGAACTAAAAGGAACGTTCTTCAGCGGCAATGAAGGCAGCCCTATTTTCTTCGTCGATCCGGCAATAGGAGCGGAAATGAAGGCCGTCTTCCTTTTACAAAAAATTGGCAACAAATCGTGGCTCTGATACCATGTTAGAATTCATAGAATTTGAGAAGGGTAAAAATACCTTCTACTTATTATACAAAATTATCCCTATTTATAGATCTATACAAGATGTCTTAATAAAGAAATAAATAACTTCTAATTGATACATAATTGCCTCAATATAATCCTTCCTAATTCAACTACCCAAATATAGAAGGATATTGGCGTGATCCAGGTGAGCCTCCCACGGATTCTCATCCTGACCGTGGGATCAAATGCCAAGGGATGACAGAGATTTTGACAATAACGATGGTATAAAAGGCCATGAAGTTGATGAATCATCTAAGAGGATAACATGAATGCAACAAATAAACAAAATGGGACAGTGATGGACCACCTTGAGGATAAAGTGGCACTTTGGGAGGGGAGTATTGATGGACCAGCCGATTTGATTGGGAGGAAATTAGGAAGTTTTCTAATCAAAAGGGAGCTATTTAGGAAGATTCTTAATAAAAGGGGAATTGTTTAGAAAAGTTTAATTAAAATTGGGAAGGAATTATTTACGGCAAGAAATCTAATTTGAATTCAAAATCTAAGAGGAAATTATTTAGGGAGAGGGAGGAGGAATTAATAGAGAATTGTTTAAGAAAATTTTAATTACAATTGCAGAGATTATTATTTAGGGCAAGAGATCTGATTTGAATTCAAATATGATCGAATTAGTTAGAGAAATAGAACTGATTTGGGAGGGAATAAGGGAGCCTATTTAAGGCTAACAATAGGGTGATTTCAAGATTATATTTTGAGTTTGTTGAAATTAAAATTTATTAGATTGTGAGGGCTCTAGCCACTTGATAGAGATTTGAGAGAGCCGGATCTTCCTCTCCAATTGAAGATCCAACTGTATATAGTTGTTTTCTTTCATATAGTTTGCAATAAAAAGAATTTTGGTGTGTTATTCTTCCTAATTTCTTATTGTTGTTCACTGACGAGAAAATTGTATCAACTTCCTATTAGCCTCCCCTCCTATTTATAGGAGGAAAATTGATTCCCAATGAGCCCACCTCACAAAAATACAAAGCATGTGAAGAAAAGAAATGATATATCAATATTTATGACAAGATTCCAATTTCAATGTTTCAGCAGAAATCCTAGTACAGATCTACCAAGTGTAAACCAACTACTATACATTAGGATGATAAAGAAATAGGGAAATGAATTAATAAAACTGGGGATCTTAAAGTTATACCTTGATGAAGGGTGGAAAAGAGATGCACAAAACCACCCTTGTGTGCAACCAAGCTTAGCGTAAGTACTCTGCATTGAAAAGAGAAATTTCTATTTTATCCAGGTAATGGGATTAAAATATTTCATTTCAACTCCTAGCGAAAAAAGAAAATCAACTTTTTACATAATCACTCTACCATGCATAATAAGTATAAATCTAAAGGGAACTAGTGAAAATTCCCTCAATAACTAGTGAAAATTTACACAATATTGCAGCTAGGAAAAATACCTCACCTTACTAGTTTGATAGTTTCCATACTTCACATTGAGAATAAACTGAATCAAAACATGCAAATTACTCTCTCCCCCTCCACCTCCAAAATGTAAGATGTCTACAGCTCTAGGGTTTCTAATGTAGAGCTATTAAGAGTTATGAAAAAACATTCAATACCACACAAAACATCACAAGTCACGAGCTCTCAATTTTAACGAAAATTCATTAATTTTGATGAAGCCTTAAAAAAATAAACTCTGACAATACTTCAATAGCCTTCTATTAAAAATAATGCATATAAATTTAGAATTAAAAAAAAAATGTAACTAGCAAAAAAAACCAAGCAATCATAGAAACATAGATTGTCTCAAATTTAAATATAATAAATCACATGTTCAATACAATAACAAATTTAAGAAAATGTAATGAAGTCGAAGGAAATGTAATAAATCACAAGTTCAATACCGACGTCATCTCGACAGTGAGGGCCGACTGTGCCTCGACATCGATGCCTGAAGCATAATGCAGAACACAGTGCACAACATTGATGCCCGAGTTTTGATAGCATTATCGTCTCTCTTCTCGATGCCGACACCCACACCTGACTCTCAACATACTAATATTAATCATTTCAAGCATATATTCAATTTAAATGACTTATTATTTCTCAATTATTCTTCATATTCTACTTACTCAATTTCTATACACTATTTTGAAAATATAAAAATTATAATACCATGTCAAACTTGTGTCCGTATCCAATATTTTCAATAATTGGCATGTCTCGTGTTTGTGCATCATAGTCTGCTCATTTAGCGGATTGACATATGCAACCACATTCAAATTTCCTTCCTGCTCCAGTCTTAAATTAAACACAGTTTTACATCAATATGCAACTGTGTTTCCATTTTAGAACATAAACTAAATCCCACTCAACAGATCTACCATTTTTGTACTACATGCAGTCATCCATGTGGAGACATTTTGATTTCAAAGACCTAGCCTTCCCTCTCATTTTGTCCAGTTAACAAGACTCCCACTTGCCCATAAAAACTAGCCAAACACTGGAATCAGTAACCCTTTGGGTCCTGGCGTAACATAAGAGTCTTCACTCTCATACATCCCTGTTTCTTTAATGGCTTATCTAACCCATCTCAGGCTTTCACTTGTGCTTCTTCACTGCTCTAGGCAGACCCTCTATATAACATACCAGATTATGACATGTCAGAATACAGCAACAATTAAAATAATATTTAGCGTGCACGAGAAACATAGGAAAAAACAAAGTGAAGAAACCTTACGCTTGAAAAACAAAATAAAACATTACCTGATTAACTAACTGGTTCTTGAACTTATCAGGATGCAGCTTCCTCTCAGAGTGAAATGCGTACGACACTTGGGCATCCATTCCTGTAAAGAGAAATAGAGCTACAACTGAAGGGATGTTATCCAATGTGTTTTAAACAAAAACAAAAGGACCACAAGATTGCGAACATACTGCTTAGGTTGCTCTAGGCCAACATATATGATGTGATCCAAACAAGAATTGCACGGAAATATTTAAAAGGATTACAAAGCTTGCTACTTAAGATTAAGGTTTCGTAAGATTAGATTAGAGAACTTTCAATCGTCAATCTTATTGTAGTAAGTAATTACAAAACAGAAGTTTAAGGCAAGTTAAGATAGATCTGAAATTATCACAGAAAAAAATAAATATGTTGTAATACAATCCCACGGTTAATATTTAAAAAGTTCACTATGAGTTACCATGCTCACTCACACTCAAAGTATGGCTTAACGGAGAAAGGTATTCAACACACCCAACGATGCCACGAGGACAGTCGCAACGCCAATGGTCTTAATCCACGGAAAGGTCGACGGTGGTGGAGAGGTAGCCGCGGATGGGGAAGGTGTAGATCTCCCAACGAGAAGCCAAGGCGTCTTAGGCTTTTGAAGATCGATCGTATGTGCCAAGCAATAGAGGATGCGCTTGACGTATCTTTCCGCCGTCTCGTCGCATTCCCAATCGGGGTCATAGAACGGAGAGAGAAGAATGTCAATCTCCCCACGATCGTTGTAGACGAAGCCATGATCAACCTCGGAATCGGCCATTCATCTTAAGCCGGAGAAGGGAGGGACACACGAAAGAGGAAGAAAGAGAGAGGTGGCGGCTTGAGGGGGAGAGAGAGGGGCCGGCGGTTCCAAGGGGAAGGGGGCTAGGGTTTGGAATCCAATTCCAATAACTCTCCCAATAAATCTGAAATAAATTTCAGACTTAATTAGTTTGGAGGGAAACAAATTAGGATTTGAATTCAAATTCAAGTTGGGTTGAGGCTAGGATTGGAAACAAACAAAAGGAGAGCCCATTAATGGGGCCGGCGGGTCCAAGAGGGAGGAGGTGGGGGGTTTTGAAAAGGGGTTTTGTTTTCAAAACCTGAAATTAATTTCAGGATTTGAATGAAATTGGGAGGAATAATTTGAAATTTGAATTCCAATTAATCTTGCAATTAATGCCTTAAGTAGGCATTAAGTGGAGAGGGCCCTAGTAGGCCGCTCTAGTGCACACACAAGATGAAGAAGAAGACAAACAACAAAATTTCATTCAAAATATTCATCATCTAATACATAAGAGAGTGACCATATATATAGGCCTCACAATGACAAATAAAACAAAAGACAAGAATGCCCCTTGGGCTACAATAGTGATCAACTACCCATAAGGGCAAAAACGGAAAACTGAAAAAATAAAAATGACTAATACATAAAATGCATCAAAAGTATAGACTCTCCATCATGGCCATCGATCTCCTATGTCGTCTCTGATAGACACGTTGAAACCTCGTATCGATGTCCCCATCAATATAACTTGGTATAAACAACCCACCATGAAACAAGGGTTATTTTAAGTCTTCATGCAAATTTATCCTACTAATTGACCAACTGATAATCCTCATCTTTGAAATCAATATCTTAATGAAGTCATATGATAAACAAATTTCAGTTTCATGAGTTATGAGGTTGGCTAATCCAAAAATAAAGGTGCAAAATTTCAGTTGTGAGTTACGAGGTCCATTAACTATAGAATAATTTCCTTGTAAAAGAGTAATTCATTAAGGATAAAAATCCACAATACGCATGCAGAACATAAGTGCTATTGATGAGTCACAAAATCGTTGGAAGATCAAAATGATGATTATATGTTGATTCAATATCACCTTTGGAACAATGAATCCGGAACTCAAACAGCTCATGAAAACTTACAAAGCGTGAAGACAAGCATTAGATCAAGACCTCTGCCAGAGAACTAGGATACTAACCATCCCTTGTGACTGTTTCAACACCCTTTTTGGTATATCGCCCCCCCCCCCCACAGTAGTTTCCTGCTTGTTTGTTGGTCCTCAATACACTAACATAAGGGACCTCACATTATCAACGAAGGGGCTCTTTGTTTCTTCCTTGCTTTCTTATTTTATTTTTGGTTGTACTCACGTATGGATAGTTCCAGATATCATAGTTCTTCCCTTTTTTGTTTGTTTTTTGTCTTGGGAAGACAGAGAAATAGTTTCCATACTAGCATGTACTCTTTTGTACACCTTTATTCACTTTAATTAATGCAAGATGAAACTTTCAAGAAGACAGACGTTAGATGCCCAATTAGCACGTCAGTTAAAAGCATCTTGACCATACTAAGACAACAAAAAGTCATGAATTTAAAAGTGATAATTACTTATATTGGTTGAATAGCTATCAACAGAAAACTCTTACCCATACTGAAGTAGTTCCAAAATCCACCACGAAATGTATCATAACCTTCCTGAGAGGAGAAAAATGGAAGTAAAATTATTATATTGAAAAAAACATAACAGCACTGACTAAATCAGCCAGTTCAAATATTTGGTATGAAATGGCAGCCATGATACAAGGGCGACATGCTTAAAATATTAATAGAAAAGAAACAAGAGATAGATTGTTTAAGTTTGCTTTTACTAATATTAAAATACAAGATCTGAAAATAGGCAACCCAACCATGACTACTGGTCTACCCACTGCAAGAAAGGCTATAAATAAAGCTTCCAAGAGCAAGCAATAATTAGCAAAAAAAATCCATTCAGGGTTTAGATGCTACATTTGTCACAGCAGAGAAACAGCGACTTACCACATTAAGAGAGTCTGTGTGTGAGACACGATGAAATGCATGTAAAGAGTGTGGCAACTCTAGAGGAGCTATCGGATCACAGGAGCCTTCTTTGGGAGCTCGCATTCTCATGATTATATGCCAGCTGAAATAGAACAGAATAAAGAAATAATAAATGACTTTGATATTTGTACCAAGCAGCCGCTCTCATTTTTTAATCATTTGGGCCTATCATAATCAAATAAGTTGCATAAGCAAACAACAAAGTTTCTATAGTCAAAATGAATTCTAATCGTCACACATATCCACCTATCAATTTTCATTTCCCTTGCATTCATTACTTGGTAGAGAAAATGTTCCACAGATTGACGATCAGTACCAGGGTTCTTCTTACCCTGCATGTATAATAGAGTGCATCATATTATAAATTGCCGCATCATACATCATAAATGTCAAACATCTACTAGAAGTAAGATAATAATCACTCTTGTTCATTTTAAACATTACATTCACTGTCATTGCATTGGGACAAAATGAAAATCATATGAAAATAAGAGTTATTTTGTATCTACAAAAGATTTTTAAATTCAAACTACTATATAATGCAATGAAGTAAAGAAGAAACCTATGTCCTGGAAGTCAAGCTTGATCTGATAGCGGCAGATCACTCAACCGCATCTTATTTTCACTCACATGTTTAAAACAGCCTTGGAGATGGAGAGGAGGTCAAGAGAGCTTAATGAAAGCTATTATAAATGGGATTGTTGCATATGTTGCTCCGAGAAGAGCTTGTTATTGTGTTGTGGTGAGGATAAGTGGTGGGTGATCAAGTTGTGTGGCATGGAAAAGGATTAAGGAAGAAGAGGGAAGGGAGGTTTGAGAATGAGAAGAGCTAGCAGCCGCTATGAATGAGAGAAGAAGAGGTGGAGAGGAGAGTTTCCCTAGGCTGCCACTAGGAGAGGAAAAAAACAAAACCATGGTTTGGCTAGACATGGAGAAGGAAAGAAAGGAGGAGCGGTTAGAAAAATAGTAAGGTGGAGAAGGGTTTTCATTAACCCATTAATCCATCACTTGATTCATTACAATCCATGCACTTCCTTATATGTGAGAAGAACCTAATCATGAAGCAAATACAAAAAAATAATCATAGAGCTAATACAATGTAACATAATTGACGCAACTAATCATGAATGGGAGCAACCCGACTTCATAATTCTCCTGGGCAGCAAAAACTCTTCCCTCAAGAGTTGGGAATGGCAGACACAAAGCAGGTGGGCGAGGCACTGGTTAGTATGTGGCATACGGATATCTCTTGTAGGTCCTCCAAGTAATAGTATCGATAGCATCAACTCAAGACAAAAGACATCAATCTAGATCAGAGATGACTCGACTAGGACAAAAATACTAATCTACTCAACCGGATGCATCAACTCAATGCATGCACTTTGAAGCACAACTGGGATTGTTAGTTGTGGATGGTGGAAATTTGGAATGGAGGCCACTGGATTGAAGAGGTGTGTTGGGGTCTTAAAGGTTAATGGGAAAGATTGGGATGTAAAGCTATAGTAAGTGGAGAGTGGACTGGAGAGTCAAGGGTAGGTATTGGGTCTATTGTGTGTGGGCTATAAGTTCGGGAGAGATGGGTTTATGATGGTCGACAATGGATATGAAGTTGGATGGGATAAGTAGATGGGTTCGGATGAGTGCAAGCTTTGCGGTGGCAAGGGTATGTTGAGTTAAGAGAGAGGATGGAAGTAATGGTGGTTGAAGTTAGGTAGACAGGTTAGTTGTGGTTTGGCAATGATTTTAGTGGAGGCTTTGGAAATGCAGCGGTTGAAAATGGGGTTTAAGGGATGGGGAAGATAAGGCTAGTCAAAGAGGTAGCAAAAAGTGCTAAGGTGGCTACAGGTAATTGTTCAAAGTGGTTTATAGTTGACTGATGAGAGGTTGCACGGTTTACAGATATTTTTTGGATAGTGAATTTTGGGATTTGAAGCATCGAAGAAATGTACTTAGAGTGAGGGATAATGACGGTTAGTATTGTAAGATGTACTTAGAGTGAGGGATAATGACGGTTAGTATTGTAAGATGTACTTAGAGTGAGGGATAATGACGGTTAGTATTGTAAGATGTACTTAGAGTGAGGGATAATGACGGTTAGTATTGTAAGTGGTGGCGTGTGAGACCATCAAAATAATAGTAAATAATAGGTAGACCATATGTTTGATAAAAGATTGAGTATATCTCAAAATAAGAAGTAAATTGAGAGTTCAATCACACTTTGTTTGCTTGCCAATAACATATATAATTGTGGGCTCCGAAAATTCGGCCCCGGCCTCCGCTCGCTTTTCTTATTCGGCGAGGGAGTTTTAACGAACTAAGTTCCGAGGTAAATTTTGGAAGGCAGATGGGTTTGTAGATAAGACACTACCCAGAGATTTCGCCCTCATTTTGTGAGGACTTTATGATCTGAGTTCTGGTTTCCTATAGGCGCAAGCCCCTAAAGTTAATTACCCCTCCCGATGTCGCTTTGGGCTTTTAACGACTCGAACGAGTCGTACGAAGGATCGTGGGGAGAAATGACGTCGGTCGTGCGAGGAGAGGCGACGACGTGCTGCGACAGGGGAGCGACGTGCTCTGGCAGCGACTCGCGTCGTGGGATCGCAGGGAGTAGGTAGGATCGCTATTTTTTTTTTTTTACAGAGCAGGTCAACAATGATTATGCTTCCAATCATTGCTTAGTTATTTTTTATTTAGATTGGATCCTCCAAAATAAAGTATGGTTGCCAATAAACCTCAATAGTGTGATTGGATCACGAGTCGTCCAAGACATCATTCACATAATAATACATTTTATAAATGAAAAGCAAGTCATCGCCAAGTGTGCAAAGTGGGCACAATGTTTGTTGATGTGAATGTCAACTTTTCATGAACCAGCATTCATGGCAACGCAAGCTTTAATATGTAGTAATAGTGAATTCATGCAAGATAGCATTGGCTTCATACACGATAGCAACTAACAGTATATTTTGCAATGTCAGTGATTGTGCAATGCAAGAAATTGTAGGAGATCCTACAAGTGGCAGCGTGCGGACTAGTGATGGCAGAAATGCAAATATGATATGAAATTGCAGTGCACTGATGAGAATCATAAGTGAGTGCAGATCCAACAATGACAAACATGTACAATACAACAATTAGATAAACACGTAATATGAAAAACAATCATTTATATAGGTTGAGCAGCAATTAGTATCCAAATGGAAAATCAAGCAACTGTAGAAAATAAATTAAAGTGCAAAATAATGCAAGTTTGGAACAATGACCGAGGAACTTGAAGATGTAGGAGTGTAGCTACTCGTCGAAGCAAAGCATAAAAGAAGAACTCTAGGGCAAACACATCATGAGGTATTTATGAAAAGGTAGAATGGAGGGCAAATTGAAATGAACCATAATTGAAGAATGATTGAGGAACGCGTGTTATATTGATCAAAACAAAATTATTCATATAAATTAAAAAATAAAAAAAAATATTTCATATATAACGTCTTAGATTGAGATTAGCATGCCTAATTAAGAACTCATTTAGCATGCCTAATAAGAGTCTTCCACATATCAGCCAGCTTGCATTTGGAATGGTCAATTTATTCATACAAGACAGCCAAATTTAGAATGAGGTCTTGAGAGATCAAGCTAATCGTGATCCAAAAATCAATTTTAACCCGATTCACTCTTTTTGTCGATCGGACTGGAGAATGGCCCCTCAATTGGTCTTAAGGTTCTATTGTCTGCAACACATCACCCTGCCACCTAAGTGAAATCACCTGTCGATTGAATTTCCTTGTAGATGTATTAAGATTGGAACCCAACTAGGCGAGTTACATACTGGAATATCCTAACTTTTTTTCCTGATGTCGCGGCAACTATCATCAACCATTCCAATATCTTAGGAGGTGTCAGCTACTTATGCAAAGTAACTATCATGACCTAAAAATTGCATAAAGCATCTTAGCCACATTTCTCTATCGCTCTCACATATCATCACCAATCACACCATGTGACCATCCAATGCTCATCAAGTGGAATCAAGCTTTTTTCTAGCCTGCCACATGGCCTACAATCACTGCCATCTCCAAAGTCGAGCGATCATGACTCCCAAATCATTGCGCAGTTGAAAACCACCTGAAATCAACTCAATTCCTATAAATACTCATGGGACGATATACGAATGAGATTGTGCTAAAGTCTAGAAACTATATTAGATTAAAATCAAAGAAAGTAAGCTTGCAAATCCATAGACTATAACCTCCTCCGTTTAGTAGATCTCCTAATTCCCTTTGCTTACAATAAGCATGCATCACCTAGTTGAACAACATAAAATTGTACATTCTCTTAATGCCTCCCTTTTAGCTTCTCTTAGTTTATACTTCTAAGTCGCCTAGAACAACATTATTTTACATTCCATCAAAAAGCAACCCACTACAACAATCAATCTCTATCACTTGTCAAATCTAATCTTCTCCTTCCCTCTATGACTTGAACCGACCAGAAATTAGCTAATCAGGTTTATCAATCCAATCTAACCACTTTTTGTCAAAAACAAAAATCAATAATCTTCTCCTTCCCTCTATTCTTGAAGAAGCGACAATGATGGAGGTTTTAGAGAGATCTACAATAGAAGGTTTATAATTCAAGCTAAAGTCATTGTTCATGACCAAACTTCTCTTCAACTACCACTATCAAGAAAGTGCACAAATTAAGACCTCTTTGAATCAAATTAGGTCAATTATTCATGATTTTAGAAATATTGATGTGATTGTAAGATAACGAGAATCAATTGTTATGTTATTTACCTAATTCTTAGAAATATTTTTATAAAAAAATGTTATATTTTAAGATATCTCATAAGCTTTAATTAAACTATCGCACAAGACTAATAAAACATAAGATTTTGTATCACATATAGCATCTTTGGATTGGGATTGGGAAAATAAAAAATAAATAAATTTGTGTAAACACATCAGGAGGTGCGTGCACTTGAAATTTCCTTCTTGTGAATCACACTTTAATGCATCAACCTGCTGCTTTTAATAATTATATGTAAATGATTCTCTCAAGGGTTTTCAGCACAAGCCATCTTGTAGATCTCTTTTAATTCCTCCCATTACCTCTCAATTATTGTTCCATCACTGTCACAAGCCAACAAACACAATTCACAATTATTTCTCATAAAATACTTTATTGAGTCTAAGATGTGACCATATGTACTTTTTTTTATGTGAATGAACATGCTTGCGCACATGAGCATATATAAGTCGTATTATTATTCTTTCAGAAGCATATGAGCAGTTACACGAGCTTACCTTATCCTCCTTTTATATAACAAAAGCTGAAACTCACTTTACATATCAATAATTCAAAGCAAGGTTTGAAATTGTGCTATTGAGTATTGATATGCTTTCTATCCATGAGGCACCAAGGAGTAAGTCTCAAGTTGTTTTGAGGTCTAAGCCTCACGATCTAAAAATCATGTAAAGTGGAAATGAAGATTAGAAGTGGCTTATTAGCATCATAACCAACTAATATATTACAAAATGACATTTTAATATTCTAATGTACTAAGAAGTAACAAATTGGCTTACATATAAAGTTACAAATTGTGCAAGATGTAAAGTAATTGGTGATAATTTACCTGAAATAGAACTGTAGTGCAAACATCAATATGACAAAGTAACATAAAATATAAGAATCAAGTAAAAGTAACATGCAATATCAAGTCCAACTCCAAGTAAACATTAACTATTTTTATAATAAAATTAGTTCCATAATTCCAAATTTCGTACTCATCAACATTAAACTTCCAAAGAAAACATTAGCAATATGATAACAAATAAAAAGTCATCAGCGTTGTCATCACTGAAGGGGTGTTCATTTGAGCCATCGTTGTAGCAAATAACTTTTTCCTCTGTCTCATCATTGGTGAAGTCCAAGATCTCCCAATCTTCTTATTATTCGTTAATCTCACTCATCTTTCTCTTCCCTGAACATTAGTAGCTAATAGAAAGATGAGGATAATAATTAAATTTTTAATCTGTTAAATTTTTTATATATCTTTTTTTGTTTTTTTATTGTTAGACTTCTGTTGAATGCATATGATTTATTCTATCACCAACAAAAATCTTCTTATAAATCAGATGGTGTAACCTCAACTTCATCATCCACAAATCATTCGTCATCCGATGACATGCCTTCACAAAGCAATGGATCCTCGTCATCCTTCAAACATTTCTTCCATAAATTTTCATCCTCAAGACTTTGTACAAGATCTACACCAAAAAACTCATCCTTGAGACTGACAAATAATTTCTCATTTGGAAAGAACTTAATTATACATGCTCTAACTATGTTCACATCCGAATAAAGAGCATTTTAATCCCAAAACCTTAACAGTAATATGATGTAGCTTTGGAGTGTTGTCACCAAATTAAATCCACCACTCAATCAAAATATGAAAAAATAAATATGATTGGAAGAAATAATTTGAAACAAAAAAATTCCTCCAGAAAATAGAACTAAAATAATTTACCTGGAGATCATTTTGCAACTATTTTTTTCGCTTGCTAAAGCCCAAAGAAGCCTTTCTTATTTCTAAAAGGTACTAGTTGCATATCAGCATTTACTCTTTTAGATGCATCAACAATCAACTTGTCCATGTAATGATAAAGACCAAATTTTATCTCAGGATTTGTTGATTTATTATCTGCATATTGAAATTGAAGATTCATATAGTAGCCTCCAACAAGTGAACGGTTATGAAGCTGTGGCTCCCATTTTTCATCAATAATATCACACTTTTCTTGATGACTGTCATCTTCTCCTCCTAAATTTGGGCAATCAGCTCCATTACTTCATCTATTACAATGTATATAAAACTCGTTACTGGCTTTTTCTCAGCATTAACCATCTTTAATACTTGAACTGGGAGTCTAGTTGTTGTTATTACATAAATGCATATGATACACTCTGATAGAATCTTTCATTTAAAACAATTTTCTTAACCTCTTTTCCCTCAGCTTTTCTTTCCCAAGCACAACTCAACCACTAAGTTGAAGTAAACATAGCATCTAAAGGCTGCATGGCCTCCAACATACTTTGCACTGTTAGGTAAGCTATAACAAATCTTATTATAGCAGTCCTTAGGATATATTTCTTTGAATTTTTTTCTCGTGAATGCCAAAACCCATGAATGACTATATATGAATTTATTGATCTTGTCGGCTTTACTTGAAACAATATTATGCTATGGTAGCTCACCAAGCTTCTCAAGTATGACATTCATGCAATGTGTAGCACATGAGATCCAAATATCCAATATAAGTTCTTTCTCCCATCCATAAATTTTACCCCTGCAGTCATGTAAGCCCTAGCAGTGCCTACTACAATTTATACAAACAAGTGTTTTGTTATCTCCTCTACGATGCCAACTAGTAATCCAAAAATATACTCAACATTCTTCACTTGATCAAAGGCTTTTATTGACTTCAAGAAAATAGTGACAAATTAATTATTTATCAATATATTAACAAACTTTTGATCCAAACAACAAACCATCCATTAGACATCACATCAATCCCGATTTGGCTCCAAGTCCTCTTAATTTTTTTCAAGACTTTCTCTTTGTTGTTCAACTCCTTCAAAACCTCTTAAATCATACATGAACAAGGGTTTGAAGCCTCACCTATAAGCTCAAATGGACCAAATCATGTTATAATAGTAAGAGGAGATTGCAACATTAAATGGTATAGGGCTCTCATTAAAAAATTTGCAAATAACTATTCATAATTGTTTGTGTACCTCCCTAGCAGTCTCTAGGGACAACTTCTGACATGCAGAAGGCCTATCCCCTTGCCCACCATTCTCTAGGTTGACCATGTAATGATCTATGAGATCTCTTGCACTCCTGCTAGACTTTGGTGGCAATGAAGATGATGAGTCTCAACCACTACGCTCACTCCCATAATACGAGCCAACATCAACTCTATTTTCATACTATCGTTGCACCAAATGCTTTGACATTATTGATTTATTCATATATTAATTGATCTCCTCTTTAACTGTTTATGGCACTTTGGCACATTGTGCCACATATTTAAAAGAACTAGAGAGGTATTCCTTCATCCTTATTACAACACGCTTCATCACCTTGTCACAATAATTGTTCTTCAAATATACATAAGTTTTATCGTTTCCTTCTACGTCAACTTGAACACTATGTTTCCACGTTAGGTCATTCTTATGATCCGATGTGGATTTTCTTTGCCTCTAACCATTTTCTTCAAGACCCTAAAATGGAACAATTGATCAAAAAATAAGAACAAGAAAACATTAAAAAAAATTAAAAAAAAAAATAAGAACAAGAAAACATTCCAATAAGCAAACAACCTAACGAAGCCATGTGAGGAAAATGAAATTATTCAAACAAAAAAAATTAAAGTTTTATATAAAGAAAAATTTTGATTGAGGTGAAAAAATACTCGTCGAGGAAAGAGAAACTTGGATTGTAGAAAGAGGAGGACAAGCAAGTGGTGGCATCAGCAATGCTAGGCTTCGTCAGCGGTGGAGGGGGCTGCCAGCAAGGGAAACTAAGTGGCTTTCAAAAGAACATGATCAACATTTAGCAGAGCTCTCACCTCCCGATATCAGGAGCATGCGCCCGGTTAAGTTAGATTTAGGTTTAATTGTTATTATTTAATTAAAAAAAAAAAAAAAAAACTTGAGGCATGTGCTTCAAGCTGTATGGTTAAAATGCACCTCATATAGATGCCTCAACGCATGCATCTTAATGCATTTTTTGCACAAAATGTGCTAAGACACACCTTGTATTGCTTAATTTTAAACAGTGATTTAAGACACACCTTGTATTGCACAAAATGTGCTAAGACACACCTTGTGATAAATGTTCTATTTCTTTAAAAGGGTATATGTGAAAAGGTAAAAGTTGTGAAATGAAAATGAGGTCCATCCTTCTAGAAGGATAGTGGTCTATATATATATATATATATATATAAGGTTAAAATTTTGACAATCAAATTGAATTATTTCAAACAAATAATTGTGCTTGACCTACCCAGCCAAATGAAAAGGGAAGATTGTTTCCAGTTCCCAAAGGCACAGTAGCAATTGGAGGTGGACGACTTAGTTTCAGATCACTAACGACACCAAGCAACCAACCTGCTGTGCCATCCCCACCTGCAACCTAACCAGAGCACAGCAAGTCAACAGCAAGCAAACTTGGAATATTTGTAAATGGAAGCAATGTTTACAGCATAAGTTAACGAACAGTAAATATCAAATGAAAACAATGTTACTAAAGAAGTGAGTAAATTTTACGATCATAGCTTCTACTCACAATGAGTCTTAGCTTATTTTCAATTTCAGCGGCAAGAATATCCCCATTGGACTTGAGTCTTTCCAGATTGGCATAGAGTCTGTACAGGACTTTATCAGGAGCCTCCTGTCCCAAATCAATAACCTAGATATTTTATCAAAAAAACAAATTTCATATTGTCAGTATACGGATCAAGTTAAGGGCAGCATGAGACATTTGAATTTCATATAATTATCAGAACAGAAAGATGAGTACCAGAGAACTCTTTGTCCTAAGAAAATCAAACCTGTGATTCACTGAGAAGCTGACGATATGTTTGAAGTAAATCACCCCCGAGCTGGCCGCCACTTTTTGAATTGATGAAAACTACTACAGGACTACTAGGTGGACGGTGAAGCTCCTCAACCATTGAGTCGGGTACAATAATGTATTTGGGTATATAAAACTCCTTTAATACATGCTCATTCATTTTGGTATCTAACCTGTGTAGGCACAGTCAAATAATATGCTGATAATCAGCTAAGAAAAAATCTATGACATCTGCTACTAACGGGCTAATTCAGATGAATACAAAAGCCACGATAGAATAATTTGTGCAAAAAATAAATAGTTGTGATGATAAGGGTAAAGTAGAACACCACAAAGTAGCGACATTCTTTGTCCTATTTAATAGTTAAGAAACATGAATTAAAAGCACTTCAAAAAGCCTTCGGAATCCATATTGGATATGAACATACCTCAAACACTCCACAACATTTGTAATAGTGACAATAAGTGTTTCAACCATGCTAGTTATAAAATATAGAAATATAATTGCAATTAAAATAACATTAGATTTTATTTAGACGATTCAAAAGTTTTTTTATGTAATACATATGACATTATATTTTATTATAAAGAAAATTCAAAACAAACCTCACACTTTAAGCAACCCAATTTAGTCTAAGAGTTTAGCATTGCCTCAATTTAGTCCCTCGACTATTGGAAATTAATCCAATTTGGTCACATGATAAAAAATAACAGTTAAAGCTAACACCAAAGTTAAATATAAGGTATTTTAGGTAGTGCAAGTGCATGCAAGATTACATTGTTTATGTTGTTATATTTTCTTATTTAATAAATAATAATAAATACAAAAATCAAAATCAAAATTAACCTACTAAATAATTAGTAAAAGAATATTATATTTTAAACAAAATCTAAACTAAAGATCATACAAAACTCTAATAGGCTTGCTACAAAAAATATATTGCCTTTAATTACAAAACTCCAAAATCCTTATTACAAAAATGATGTCAAAAGCTTTAAAACTCCAAAACCCTTGTTGCTAAAAAAAGTTCATTAATAAAAAGCAAAAATTCATGTGCCTCAAATAATAAGAAATTTCACTTACTCCAGGATAGATCTATAAATAAATCAAATAATTTGCAAAACCTTCAATCCAAAACAAAGATATTACCAGCAATCACAAAGAAAGAAACATGGGAGTTGATAAGCATGCCTACAATCAATGACAAAACTAGATTAAAAAAGTGGGGAAGCAAGAAAAAAATTACTAATATGCACTAAACTAAAACTACTGGAGAAATTTATATGCTACATATATAACTTGAAGGATGACATCTAATTCCATACCAATATTTGGCATGTTAACGAAGTTTAGTGCCTTCGAAATCAATTATGTTTATTGATGGGATTGTGATAGGAAATAAGAGTCCTCAGTCCACCAGCAGAAAAACTGCTGTTTTCAGGAGAAAGCAGCCACCACACAGCAGAAATCTCAAGGAAAAACAGTAAAAACCAGGAAAAATCTGAGAGGAAATAGTAGATTTCACTAAATGAAGAAAAAGTACAGCACACGATACAAGTTCCTTCAATTCGAGAGGAAAAAACAACTCTCCAAATCTCTAGCCAAGCCTAGAGCCCACAAGACAAATCTTAGATCTCAAATCAACTTTCAAATTCAAGATGAAAAACAAACCCTAGTCCCAAAAGGCTAATTAAAGCAAAAGGATAAAAGCTTAATCCCTAAACAGCTCCCCTAATTTGAAATTTCCTCCAAAGCAAGGGGTTAATTAGGTGATGTGGGCCGCTCTCTCTTTTTCTCCTTGTTTTCCCTCACCTTCCACCCCCCCCCCCCCCCCGCCCCCCCCCCCTCGCCCCCCCCTCCCCCACCCCCCCCCTCCCCCCCCCCCCCCCCCCCCCCCCCCCCCCCCGGGCCTCGCCCTGATAAGACATGAACCGGTCCACTAGGGACCGGTTTCAGTGCGACCTAACACTACTCCCCTCCCAAATATTCACATTGTCCTCACGGTGAAATGAAGGGAACTGATCTTTCACCCTCTCATAGGGCTCCCAAGTAGCATCGAATTCGGGAAAGTCTTTCCATCTAATAAGCACTTCCTTGTTCCCCTCTTTATCTGATCTTACCCCTCTTAGCTCTAGTGGTTCTAAGATCACTTCCAATTCCTCCGTCAGTGTAGCTGGTAACTCTGCACTAACTACATGCTCCCCTAGAGCTTTCCTCAACTGGGACACATGGAAGACTGGGTGTATGGTGGCTGATGGGGGTAACCTCATACGGTATGGCACTGCTCCGATCTTGTCCAAAATCACATAGTGGCCGAAGTACCTAGGGGCAAATTTCTCGTTCCTCCTGTTGGCCACTGCCCTTTGCCTATAAGGTCATAGTTTTAAGAATACTTTCTCCCCCACTTCAAACTGTATGTCTCTCCTATGTGTATCTTCCTGCTTCTTCATGATTTGTACAAATATTTCTTCAACTGCTCCAACACCTTATCCCTTTCCTCCAAGTATTGTTTTACTGAGGAAACTGATGTGCTCCCCTTTCCAAAGTGCACCAAGTGTGGGAGGTCTCTTTAATACAACACTTTAAAAGGGGTCATCTGAGAAGTGGAATGGTACAATATATTGTACCAATACTCGGCCCAAACTACCATTTTGCCCACCAACTCAGTGTTTCAGAAGCAAAACACCTCAAATAAGTCTCCAAACTTCGGTTTACCACCTCCGTTTGCCCGTCCGTCTGAGGATGGTAGGTGGTGGTTCTCTAGAGAATAATGGCCTGCAACCTGAACAATTCCCTCCAAAACTGGCTGAGGAATACTTTGTCTCGATCAGACAGTATCAACTCTGGAATCCCATGTAGTCTAACCACCTCCCTGATGAATGTTGTTACCACTGTCACTGCGGTGTAGGGGTGTGGTAAGGAGATGAAATGTGCATATTTACTCAATGATATCAAAAACATCAAAAATTCATGTGTATTTAGATCTTGAAATAGCCGAACTAGAAAAAAGTTGTCTAGTTCGCAAAGGTCCAGGGCAACACTAGTCCCATTCTCCTTCCTCAAGCTGCACATCATGTGCCACATAAATTCATCTTGACCATGACACCAAAACTCAAACTTTGCATAGTTCACCTACCTAAATATGGGGTTCATGGTGTTTATGCGACCTAAAGATGAATGATCAGCAAGTCGTCTATGGCATTGAATTGATGTCGAGAAGATGAATATTAAATCATAAAAAAGGTTCTCTATCATCGTTATTTTTTAAGGCCACAGTTTATTTCAATGATATCCCAAAAAAATGCAATTCCCTTTGCCTTTTATTCATAAATCGTTTGTGGTTTTTAATTGCTCTCGAAGAGACAAAATGCTTCAATACTAAGATTGCTGCCTATTGTTGTTACTTGATAGCAACCTTAAACTTTATCAAAACATCAGTCAGTATTATTCCGAACAATTCAACCATAGAAATTCCAATCCATCAACTCTACTGGATTTATGGTGTTGACTGTTGAGAATTTTGAAATGGTTCCTTAAGCTTACCAAACATATACTTTGCTAATGATGGGCACCATTGGAATATCACTGCCAGTCCCTGGTCGATTGCTTAAGCCAACCACTAGGTAGGATCATTTGTTCACTTTCAAGTTCAAGGAATGAAGCACTTTGAACCATATAATTTGGATTTTTATATGGTAAATTTTGATTTAAATAATCAGAATACCCATCATGAAATCACAAATTTTATTTTTACATATTCATGACATATTCTAGTAAAGACAAAATTCATATATCAAAGAGAATTGGAAAGCCAAGAGGGCCAGTCGATTATCTCTGATTTGTTCCTATCCCGACCTTCTTTGTTGCCTTCCTAGTTTCATGGTTTATCATTCTTCCAAAGGAACAACCGCACTAACCACCCTCAAATGACTAATGACTCATTGATTCCCCCCCCCCCCTTCTTTCTAGGAGAATGAACACACCAGCCACCCTCGATCATTCAACATCAATTGCATCTCGACGATCAATGGTTGATGTCCTCTCTCAACTCAACACCTCCAAACTCTTTATGCTACCACATGATACTTTCTGCCAGTCTAAATCTTGTTACATTGTACTCACAACTTCGAATTTAGGGAAAGGTGAAATTGTAACTTTTTATTATGACTAATAAAATTGTTTGAACTAGCTTAGGCTCCAACGTATGGTGTACTGCATTTAATTCTTCTAATTGTATGTGGAATCTTCATTCACAAGTAAGATCAGAACACCTTTTAGTCTCTACCATCATTATATTCTCATTATATTCTAGCTCACAACAATTTGTTGACACCCGTGAAAACCATCCCACCTTTTGCTAATCAATTGAACAACAACACCTCATAATAGCAAACCAGCACAATGACCTCAACACTAGAGTTTTTCACTCCAACTCTCACTACACAAGGAACTTGTCCTTAAACCCAGGGATATCACAGTAAGCCCCCACACTTTCCCCTCCATTTTTGAGAAATCCTTATGTGAAGGTCCTATTAATCTGTCTCTAGAAAATTACGTCCAATACATGAGGTATCATGGGATTAGATCCTTTTCCTTATGAATGAATCCTATTGGTCAAGGCCATCACTCGAGAATCTTATTGGGCATTGTCTACTAGTCTACCACATACCAAAAATCCCCAACCAAGGTATAAAAATTTCTCAATTTAGTATTGAGGCATTTATCATCCATGAGGTAAAGGGTAAGCCTCAAGAAGTTTTAAGAAGTAAGCCTTATAATGTAAAATTTATGTAAAGTCAAAAAGAAAGTAAGAAGCATATATTAACATCATAACATATTAGTATATTAAAAATTGACATTAACATTCTAAAATAATAAGAAGTAACAATTTACATATATATCAAGTAGCAAGCTGCGTAAGCCACAAAGTATCAAATAACAAATTATGCAAAGTGTGATGCAAAACATGAAATGATCAAAGTATCATAATAAATGAAATAAAAATAACATAATATATAAAATTAAAGTGAGGCATCAAATAAATTTAGCACAATAACTCCCATGTTGCCTAACATGGCAACATCAAATAAGCTTAGCACAATAAGTTTCTCTCTCCTCCAACAATGGCTAAAACACTATATCTCCATACCGAATTTTTTCTATGATATATTGTAGATTTCATGAAGCGTTCTAATAAATTTGGCAACACGAAAATATTCAAATAAATAAAAACCCTAACTAAACTATGCAAAAAAAAGTATATTTATGCAAGGAAAAAATTAGGGTTAAAAGATTGTCATGGGCTAGAGAAAAAAAATAGGTGGAGGAGGAGGAGGTCCTTGTGGACTAAGAGACCTTGGCTAGGAGGAGAGGAAAGTGGTGGCGATGGTGCTGGAGTGACTGGTGGTAGCATGGAAGGAGCAAAGGAAGGATAAGGCGCTCGAATTTCCCATGGCCATGTGTGCTTGAGTGAGTGAAGGTGAGTAAGGGCATATTTAGTACTATTCTATATTAAATATTATTTGTATAAAAAAACTAAACATAAGAGGCGTACCCCTCATGTAAAATAACGTGAGGTGCGCCTCACCAAATGTGAGGCATACGCCTCACTTGAAATAAAAAAGTTGTGTACCTTATTGCATTTTTTATTTGAATTATACCAAGATGCTCCTCGTATTGCGTAAGTTTGGTTTATTATTGATTTATTAAATTTATAATTTAATGTTTACATTTTATCAAATTCATTCGTGGCGTTGTCACAATGGACACGAGTACCAATGTCTCCTTAGGACACATAGCCCGGCAGCTCGAGAAAGTCCAACCTAAAAACTTCATTGACAGAGTGTTGGTTATTTATTTTTACTTTTATTATCTGATTTGATTCATTAGGTTGATGACTTTCTGAGATTTTTTTTATAATTTATTGATTTTTCATATTATAATGAATATTTTAATGTATTTAATGTGATGTCCATTTCTTGACTTTTAAATTTGCATTGATTTTTGGAATTTTTATATTTTCACATTTCATTAGTATGGAAACTATTTATGTGATCCTTTATATTGTTACAAAATATAGTTGACCTAGTTTTCAAATTGATGTAAAATTTGCTTTCTTGAATGGATTTATCAAAGAAGTATACACGTTGAGTAATCTTTGGGCCATATAAAAGATGGCCATGAATCAAATGTATATAGCTTGAATAAGGCCTAATATGACTTAAAACAAGTACCAAGGGCATAGAGTGCAAGAATTGACGCATAGTTCGATCAAAATGGCTACATCTAATTACCATATGAAATTTCTATCTACATGAACATAATTAAGAACAAAAGAAATCTTAGTTTCTTACTTTGATGTAGATGATTATAGATTATAGGCAATAAATCACTTATATTTGAGGAATTCAACCATGGTGCAAGGGTTAAAAATCACAAACATTAGGTTAATGGCTTACTTTCTATGAAGGAGAATGATGCAAGGCATCTTATCATACAAGAAGCTTATACAAAAGAAATTCATAAGAACTCAAAAAAATATTATTGTAATCTTTTTGATGTAGTCGTGGATGTTCTTACCATACATTTTCAAGAGGATGTACCATGGTTTATGGTTTTTGCTAATGATATTTTTTCTAGTTGATAAGACTAGAGAGGGAGTTGAAAGAAAATTTGAGTTATAGAGGTCAACTTTAGAGTCTAAAAGTTTTCTTTTGAGTAAATCTAAAACCAAATTCATGGAGTGTAATTGTATTAGTAATAAATATGGCTGTGGGATTGTGACATTGGGTGATCAAGCCATTAAAAGAGTGCAGGTTTTAAATATTTCGGGTCTATTGTTCAAAGCGATGGTGAAATAGATGAGGTTATTATTAGTAGAAATCAAGTTGGATGGTTGAAGTGGAGGAATGCATTAGGAGTTAGGACTATTGTATGATAGAAAAGTACCCCTCAAACTTAAGGAAAATTTTTATAAGATGGCGGTGAGACCTACAATGCTTTATGACTCGGAATATTGGTTGTTAAAAGAGAAGCATAAAAATAAGTTGAGTGATGCAAAGATGAGGATGCTCAGTTGAATGAGTTGTTTTACACTTAGAGAAAGAATGTGAGATGATAGTATATGTGAAAAGGTTAGATTTCCTATGGCAGATAAGATTAGAGAAAGTCACCTTAGATGGATTGGTCACATAAAAAGTCAGCCTTCTGATGACCCCATTAGGAGAGTCAATATATTAGATTCGACCTATGTAAGAATGGTAGAGGTAGACCTAAAAAGATTTGATTAGAAATAATTAAAAATGATTATTTTATTAGATTTGAATGAAATTTTAATCATTGACAAGTCAGAGAAAAAGGATTCATGCAGCCAACCCAATGCAGTGGGATAAAGGCTTTATGTTGTTGTTGTTTTAAATCATTAGGCATGCTAATTAAGTGTTTTATCAAATTATCAAATATTGGTGATGGCAAGGAGGTGGATCCAACCTGTTTCAAATGCTTAATTGGAAGCATGTAATATTTAGCATGCATAAGCCAAAACATATTACATCTACTTGGAATTAAGTCGATATTATGGAAGAGCAACTATGACATGTTTGAAGGCAACTAAAAAAAGCAATCTAATTTAGATCTTCCCACAATTGAAGCATAATATGTTGCTAAATCTTCTTATTTGCACCATGCAATATAGCTAAGGAAACTATTAAAGGACATTTGAGCCCTCAAAGTGAAGCTCTAAAAATTTATGCAGACAACAAATCAATTAAATCTTCGGCAAGGATTCCAATGCACCATGAAAGGGACAAGCGCATCAAAGCTTGCTTCCCTTTTATTAGAGATCAAATAAAAGATAAAAACTATCCAAATGGAGCACATTAGGACCAGACACCAAGTTGCTAAAATTTTTACCAAAACTTTTAGTTTGGAGCAAATCATCAAATAGAAGACACTTCTTAATATGATTGATGGAGCCAAAATTTTGGCTTGAGAGGGATTGTTGGAAATTGCAAACCAATTCCATGACATGTTGAAGCATTTCTAGATCCATGGTCTTCAAGGAATCTTAGCGCATGAATTTAGAAAAAGCTTTATAATTATGTTGCATGCATTAGATGGGAGATATTAATATTGGTGCGCCAATGCGATGATAGCTGCGTGTATGGCTGAACTATATAAAGGGGTCGTTTGAACCTTTTTTTTTTCAAGAGGTTTGACTACTCAAGTGATTCCCATCTTCCAATTCGTGTTTGTCTCTTTCTCCTTGTGAGCAATCCATTTCTCTCCGCATGCACTAGTTTCTAACAAACCAAACTATAATTTAATTCTAATAAACTATCAACAGAAGCCATTTAATCATATCAAATTAAAACACAAGCAAAGAGCTCAACATAGTTACCACTGAACTACATTTCATATGAAAAGAAAATATGATATGAAATTTCCCAACGCCCCGCAAATTTTAATATCAGAATCACAGTGGAGCTGCTGCTGGATCTGATATCAGCCGAAACAATGGAAACATACGATTCAATAATTCAACTCACGTTCGAAAAGCAGAATCGTATATGCCAAAACATCCAAGGAGCTCTTCCGCATGACGTCTACTCGAACAACATCTCATAGACTTCCAAAAATGCTTAATTAGGCGAAAAAGAGACTCAACCACTGCACGCGCCATTACTCATCCAGAAAGGCCCAAAAAAACAAAAAAACAAAAATGAATAGCCCCTGTCCTATACAGATCCGAATCGAAAAAGAGCTATACTAAGGATCTTGCAACAACAAAAAATCCAAAAGACTTTCATTTAATCAAAAGCTTCCGCCAACAATCAAGCAGATAAAACCCTAAGAGCATAAAATTAGGATGAAACTGAAAAACTTACCTGAATACAGATTTTTTTAATGGAAGGAATACGACACACGGAGAATTCCGACGCCTCCACGCGATTCCTTTCTCCCCTCCTGAATCTAGAACCCGGGAAAGAAATGGAGAATGTGAGATCCTTCAAAGGGATGAATATGGGTGCGGGCAATCGTAATAAAATATGCGACACGCTGGCATCGTCGTTCAGCCAATGAATTGCCTTTGGGTCCGTCCCCTTTGAACGGCGGAGATGAACTTCGTCGCATGCGGCGTTCTGGTTTGAAAGGAACTTTTACTCTATGCCTCCTGATGCCAAAAATTAAGGAACTGTTGCTGTTGGTGAAGTATGCAACTTTTATGCGGACCAAAATATTTATAAAATTTGATGAAAGCTCCGGTAGAATAATAAAGTTTTTGGCTCATAAGAATATTATATATCAAATTATTAGCTTTGAAAATTATTTGAAATTTATTAACATTTAGATTGAAATATGTTCATATCATAAAATTATTAAAAAATTATTTGAATATTATTTATATATTCTATAATTTAAAATAATTTTGATTAATAGTTGAATAATAAGGTATCAATCTTGGAATCCTATTAAAATAAATACTAATTTTTAATTTAATATTTAGATAAGTATTGTTACAAAGTCTTCATGGGCTGATATGAAACATATTAAAAAAGAAATACTTAGTATTTAGTGATTTGCAAATATTATGAATATGATACATTTAAGTGTAAATGGAGGTTGGAGGATGGTTGATGGAGGTTAAAGATTTGTAGTTAGAAAAAGTGGTTGGAAGAATTGTAGTAAAGTTATAAAAGCCAGAGGATTGGAGTCAAGTGGTAGTAGTTAGATGATCGTAATCTAAAAATGGTGATTGGAAATATCATAGCGGGTGAAGGAGGTCCAATGATCATAGTCGAGCAAAGATCATTGGAGGAGCATAGTCAACTAATGGATGTTAAAAAGATTGTAGTTAAGAAATGGTGATCAGATATTTGTAGTCAAATGACTGTGGTTTAAATGATCAAATATAGGTGTCAAAGTTCAAAGGATCGTAATTAGGACAAAAATGGTCGGAGGACTGCAGTCAGGTGAAGGTGATTGGAATGATCATACTCGAAAGATTGTAGTTGAACAACGATAGTTATAAGATTATAATTGGTTGATGGTGGTCAAAATGATCTTAGTTAAGCAATGGAGGTTGACGGCCATAACGAAGAGTCGATGGTCGAAGGACTTTTGTTGGGTGATGGTGATCATAGGATCGCAATTAAATAATAATTGTCTGAAGCATTGTGGATGAAGGTTGGATGACTATAGATGAGGATGGTCAGATAATGGTCCAGCAATGTTGGTTGGGTAGTGTAATAACACAAAATATGAAAATATATTTTAAAATGAAATGTTTGAATTCCTATTTGAATTGGAGCACTGCAGTATTGAGATTGTGAGCATAACGGCACTAGCCTTTGAGCGAAAGAACACTAGAAACTACCATCATAGCATTGGAGTCTTTATTTATACAGTAGTTATGAATTCTGCATACAGCGCTGTGGCAAAACAACTTCATAGTACCGAAATTAAATTTTTTATTCTAAAAAGTTGCTTTGAGAAGCTAAAAGAAAATTGTCCCAAATAAAGGCTTAATTAAATGAGAATTGTAATTATTTTATCCTCACATAAATAAGTTTACATAAAATTTTTTTTAAAAAAAATCTACTTCACGCCTAAAATTATGTATGCTTTAATTTTATTTTGTCAACCCTCAAAAGAGAAATTGATTCCACCGTTTTGGCTAAGAAATACCACCCCTCAGTTAAAAATACTCCTATAATATATGATTATAAATGTCAAATAACTAATCGAATTTTTTTTTTTTTGTTTTAAAATAATAAATTAAAATGAATACTGAATTTCTTATTTCTTAGGCGGCTGAAGACATGGAAGCCGATGTGGACAATATTCCTTTTTTCCAACAAATTGTGGTTGTTATTGTTTGTAAACCAAGAAGGGAAGATTTTTTTTTTTTTGTAAATATTGCCACTACTCCGAACCTTCTGTTTTGCATTTTTACCAAGTAAAGATAGCAAGGTACACAACTCTCCTTGGCCTATTGGTTGAGAGCTTAGGCTTCCAACTAAGAGGTTCAGGGTTCGAGTCTATGTGTATACGTTGCGTGTGTGAGTTTGCCTTAAATGGCCTAAATGTCCCAAAAAAAAAGATAGCAAGGTGGATAACGAAACACATAGTCTTCCAACAATATTTTTCTTTTATTATTATTATTATTATTAGAATTATGCGTGCATTAAATGTATTTTGTTAGAATTTAAAACATTATTATTATTATTATTATTATAAAATTACAAAAAATATTAATTTAATATTAGAAAATAAGTTATAATTGTTGTTACCTGTTAACAAAATTTATGATGCTAAAGTTCATGTTTAATATATTAGCTGATATATCATCAAAAAAAATATCTTGGCCAGGCACTAATCTCGAGACAAAATCAGGTGGGAATCTTCAAAAATTAAATCTGAGACCATCTAAACTCCAATTTCAGCAAATTTATAGTCAAACTGAATGTCTCGGAAATACAAACCTAACAACACCAAATTCAACTCGATTTGAGCCCAAATGGGTCCAAATCGAAGACCCGAAGCTCATCAAAAGGTTCAATCCATAATTTGGATTATCAAACAATTTTCATAAAAGCATAAAATTGATAAAAAAAAAATACCGATGAATATAATATATTTATCCATGATTTGGAAAATACACAATCTTTATTATGTCTCAATCACTGGATGATCAATACAAGTGGAATTCGATCTAACATCTTCCATATAGTTTAACGTCATCGAGCAGAGCTCTGACATACAACCTCATATAGATCTTACATCATTGGTGGATTCTCTCGACCTCTTCCATATAGGTTAATGTCATCGAGCAGGGGCTCTGACATACAACCTCAGATAGATCTTAAATCATTGGTGGATTTTCTCGATCTCTTCCACATAAGTTAACGTCAATGAGCATGGTTCTGACATACAACCTCGGATTGGTCTTCCATCATTGGTGGATTATCTCGACCTCTTCTATATAGGTTAACGTCATCGAGCAGGACACCATCATACAACCCGTACAATGCTAAGACGATAAACTTTATATTTCTCTACCGCCGTGAATACTCCTGGATGCAACATTATTATTATTAATATAATTATGCATGCATTAAATGTATTTTGTTAGAATTTAAAACATTATTATTATTATTATTATTATTATAAAATTACAAAAAAATATTAATTTAATGTAAATTTAATATTAGAAAATAAGTTATAATTTTTGTTACGTGTTAACAAAATTTATGATGCTAAAGTTCATGTTTAATATATTAGCTGATATATCATCAAAATATTAATTATCTTGGCCAGGCACGAATCTCGATAAAAATTGGATGGGAAATTTCAAAGATTAAATCTGAGACCATCTAGACTCCAATTTCAATAAATTTATAGTCAAACTGAACGTCTCGAAAATACAAAACTAATGACACCAAATTCAACTCGATTTGATCCCAAATGGGTCCAAATCGAAGACCCGAAGCACATTCAGAAGGTTCAATCCATAATTTGGATTACCACATAATTTCCCAAAAAAGGATAAAAATGATAATAAAAAAATACCGATGAATATAATCTATTTACCCATGATTTGGGAAATACACAATCTTTATTATGTCTCAATCACTGGATGATCAATTTCAGTGGGATTCGATCCGACCTCTTTCATATAGTTTAACGTCATCGATAACAGTTCTGACATACAACCTCATATAGGTTTTACATCATTAATAGATTAACTCAACCTCTTCCATATATGTTAACGTCATCGAGCGGGGGCTCTGACATACGATCTTAGATAGGCCTTAAATCCTTAGTGGATTTTCTCGACCTCTTCCACATATGTTAACGTTATTGAGCAGGGCTCTGATATACAACCTCGGATAGATTTTGCATCATTGGTTGATTCTCTCGACCTCTTCCATATAAGTTAACGTCATCGAGCAAGGCTCTAACATACAAAATCGGATAGGTCATATATTCTTGATGAATTCTCTTGACCTCTTTCACAGAATTCAACATCATCGAGCAATGCTATGAGTGGATAATGTTCTCTATAAAAAAAAGATTTTATGAAACTGATTGATAAAATCATCACTATATAAAGACTTTAACAGTCTAAAAATGCCTCAAAAAATATTGGGGGCAATATACCAAAGCATCTATCAAAGATGCATAAACAATTCAGCTTCCTCCGATGGATAAGTTATCAACTTCTTATATAATATCAATGTAGTTACATAAATCCAACATCATATTCAAGTGTATATTTATTCTCACTAGACGTTGAAATTAAAAAATACAGTGGCGTCATTCATACAAGCTATTATCATCAAGCAATAAGCAACTTTAAAATGGTTAAATATCCTTGGTGGATTCAAGTGACATCTTCTCTATTACGCATTAAATCATCTCATGTAACTTTTTCTTCAAACAAAGGACTAAACCTGATCATCATCAGGCCTCCACTTAGTTAACAATGTTGGTGTGTTGCCAAAATGCTAGCATAACACATTGCTTCGGCCCCTTAACTCAAGGATATCTGATGTTGGCACAATTCAATATGGATACATATTGCCGTAATAAAATGCCACTAGACACACAGCATCATCAGTTCTTCATTTTATATTTGTCAACGATCCTTCACTTTATATATGCCATTATTGGCTTCTCGCTGAACTACTGATAGTAACACACCCTCGAACTTTCTCCTTCAACTCTCAACTCGATCGTTGACTGCCAATGGACTTCCACTTGATCGTCCATCATCGACGGACTTCTGTTCAAATAACATCGAAATTCTCTCAATTTACTAATAACTTCTGGTTCTCCTCCAGAGCACTATTACCACCAAATCTTCTCAAATCACCCTTACATGCAAGAAGTATTTGATCTTCTTCTATCAAAGATAGTTTAGTGGGAGAGTAAGCTCTCATTGTAACTTCTTCTAAATAAGAGATGGGCACTAAAACTTGATAGGAGAATGTCACCTATCTCTAACAGTGGAATACCTCCAATGTGAAAAAAAAAGAACACAAAAGAAGAATAAGGATGAGAAAGCTCCTTCTACACAAGAGAATGACACTGAAGCTTGATAGGAGAATGTCTCCTATATCTAATAGTTG